CAGCACGGTAAGCAGTTGCATCACGGATTTGGAAACGCACTCTTTGCTGTGGCTAATAGCGGGCAAAGCCAGATGAAGAGCTCAGATAGCGAAAGCCATATGCCAGTAGTACAGACAGCAGCCTAACCCTAACCCTAACCCTAACCCTAACCCTAACCCTAACCCTAACCCTAACCCTAACCCTAACCCTAACCCTAACCCTAACCCTAACCCTAACCCTAACCCTAACCCTAACCCTAACCCTAACCCTAACCCTAACCCTAACTAAACCCTAACCCTAACCCTAACCCTAACCCTAACCCTAACCCTAACCCTAACCCTAACCCTAACCCTAACCCTAACCCTTTCTTCTCTTGCGCCCAAAGGCAGAGTCATAGGGCGGTGATGGCGGAGCTCCAGCTGGCGCGACCTGATCCTCAATCTTTGTGTGGACAAACAAAGCCTGAGACAGCAATGACGCTGCTGCTGTCGTGTACGGGAGCGACTGAGCTGCACGCTGCGATGCTGTGCACGATACAGCTGCAGGTAAAATGTTGCTGGGCAGCGCGGCTGCAGTCGTTGCTGCTACTGTGGCGTTGGCGGGTAAACTAGTTGTAGGTATATTGGCAGCGGCGGCTGCGGCGACAGCAGCAGCAAGAAAGTCGTTGAAGGGCATAGGTGTCAAGTGTGTAGCCGGCAGTAGCTTTGCATAACCGTTCAGTGCCAGTGTGTTGGGTGTGATGGTTGCCATTGTCTTTGGTTCTTGTTGGACCTTGACGGACGCGGTCACGGTCGCGGTCCGGGCGGGGTCGGCAGGCTGAGGCGGCGGAGTTGGCGGTTGTTGATGACGGCGAGCTGTAGCCATCAACAAGAAGGCATCGAGTTGCGCCTTGAACAAGGCCTGGGCGGCAACCGTCTCATCCTGATTGAGAAGCTTTGTTTCCATCTCCATTCCCTTTGACAGAATAGGATCCGTTTGACAGGTTGCAAGCGTCATCGTCATTAAATGTGCGTGGATATGCGTATGTAAAAGACGAATCTTTGACTTGTTTGAATGGTATTTGCTGCTGTTTTTGTGATTCAACACAAAAGCACACTTGCAAAGTAAGAAAACGACAACGATGAACGACGATGAACGAAACGAAATGCGGAAAGCGCAGGAGGCCAGGGGGAGGGAGGGGGAGGGTTCATTATAATATCAATGATAATGTGATCAAAGCATTAATTTATACATTTATGGATATATTGAACACCATGCCACTTGAGAATGACTGTCCAATGACCCGCACAGATACAAACACGTCGCGTATCTTTTTGTCAAAGCACATGACTTTTGGACTCACCGCACGTGGACTCCATTTGATTGGTGCATCATTCGTAAGGCATGACGTCGTTCGACAGCGGCATGGCTTATCTTTCTACTTTGGGAAGATGACATGCCGTCCCACGATCTGACCATCGGACAAGTTCTTACGGTTGTTTCCGGACAGGCCTTCTCCCGGACTCTTTTGCTTGAAAACAACGGAGACGGCTGGGGATGTTGGGGGAGAGTGACAGGTGTGATTGCTGCAATTCACCAAGCAGAAGACATACACTGCCTTCGCCATCTGCAGCAAGTGCAATGGATATCCATCTTCATCAGGGCGTATATAGACTTTTTACGTTATGGAACGCTGTGCCACGGACTGTCAGCGGGGGAGGGCGTTTGGTGACAAGTTCAGTTTTGCTCAGCGGCAGGCAAGGCTCAGGCGCAAATGGGGTGTCAAAGGATGCGCGCAATAATGGTCTATTTTTGCGGATTTATCACCCGACCACGTCGTCGCTCAAACGCCGGGAGGCCTTGCTTGCCCGTCACATCTCCATACTACCGCTCCTTTTAGTTCTCCCACCGCACTAACAATTGATCAATGTGCTGACTGACATCTGCCTTAAAGTAAAGTGCAATGCTAGTAGTTCAAGTCCGTCATGGTAAACGCGGTTGACAGTCCCGTGATGAAAGCTTACTTAACCGGAAGGACCTGCAACTCCTTCTGCTGGCGAAAGATGGACAGCCCTTACCCTCCTGCCACCTCCTGCCAATTTCAAAAGTGTCGGATGACGACGATGATCAGGTACATTTGTCGCCCATTCACCGGTACACTCCCAGACGGTTAATGTAACAAAGTATGCAATGATCTCAATACCAAAGACTGTTAAAGACTACCCTGCATCAACAGACCCCCACAATAACACCTCATCACACTAGCCACAAGTGTTGTTCTAGACACCTGCATGTAATAGATCACCGCCCCTTCATTGACACCAAAACAAAATGAACCTTGCATTTATTAAGGAAAACCCCCATCCGTCGTCCAATAAAGCATCCCAAAGCCAGGATTCTTCCCAATAGAAAGGCTCGCAAACAAGTAAACAAAAACAAAGTCAAACCAAAAGCGTTCCGACTGAATCAACACTAGCACACGTGACTGGCACAGTCATGTAACTCTTGTTTTTCTTTCGAATTTCGACCTCGCGACCTTTTTCACACTTCTTGTCCTTCCTCCTGGGTTTATAAAGGTTCATCCTTTTCTATTCCCCTGCAGCGTTTTCCTTCCAAAGGCATTGCCCTTTGAAGCCTCCGTACTCGATATCACTCAGCAATCTCTCGGTTTTCTTGCTTTCGATCGTCGCTTCATTTCCCCAAACGATCGTGCCGTCATCTGCTCCCGTTCAGGAAAAGCCATGTTGAGCGTCTTGTCCTGCATATAGCATTTCTTTCTAGTCGTGTTTGGGTCTCGCCCTATATCTCTTGGTTTCCCCCTCTTTATTGTATTCGATATTCTTCCAAACACGGAAGCCACCAGCGCCGCGACGATTCCGCTCAGCCCCTGCTATGCTCCGCTCGCCTACCACTGCTATCACTTCCTCCTTCCCATCTTGCGAATCGGTTTCCTTCTCAACTTTCAGGTGAGTTTCCGGTCCAGTGTCTCCTCCAATAAGGAGAGAAAATCTTCTGTAGCTTGTAGTTTTTGTTTGCACCTGGGATGTCCGAGCTATAGCCATACATACAGAAGATAACGACGCATTCCGCAATATTGAACGCTTGTCCAAACATTTACAAGACTCCAGTCCTCATCTTAGTTTCCTCCATGTTGACTGATAGGTACCACGCGGAAAAGCTTCCCAGATAGGCAGCCTTCCAATCGATATTGTTTCTGTCTGCCCTAAACTCTTGACGGTCAAACGCGCTCCAAAAGAACCACCCTAACAGCCCCTAGCCCCTTTGCAACCTTTTACGTTTAATATTTGTCTTGAGATCTCGTGTGTTTGGGAATGATCATCAAGGAATCGCTCGTTCAAGGCTTGAACAGCCACCTTTATAGCTCGACATACCCTAAACCTTTGCCTTCCGAATCTGCCGAGCAGCATACGCTGTGCGGCTTTGAAGGACCCGAAAAAGTTCTTGAAATTTGGTTTCGTCCTGTTAACGGGAAAGAATCCCCTATTCTCATCGATGCGCACCGTGCGGTAGCGCGTGAGGTAGAGTCTTTGAGTGAAGACGATGTATCTGTTGGCGATATTGATGAGATTGTCGACTGTGCGCGTCCAAAGCACGATTATCCGGTTGATGTCTTTCAGGACAACCATGGAAGATGGCAGTATCGCCGGTCGGGTTTGAGGTTGGTGGACCGTGCAGTTTGGGAAGAAATGCTGCGGATTGTCAAGTGCCAGGTGCTGAACGTTGTCAACAATGAGTGCGTAGATGCATACTTGCTGAGGTAATTTTCAATCTGTGTCGCATTGCTTGAAACGGACAGATGTTGACGGCCTGCTTTCATTAGTGAATCATCCATGTTCGTTTACCCTCATCGTTTGATTTTGAAAACATGCGGTACTACGACGCTTCTTCACGCCGTCCCAAAGATTTTGGATATTGCGAGAGAGTATTGTGGTTTTCACGATGTCAATGCTGTCTTTTATTCTCGCAAGGCATTCTTGTTTCCTGAGAAACAAGTCTGGCCTCATGGTCGGTGGGGCGATGAGGTTTCGTACCTGGACAAGCTCTTTTGCAAGGACGAGTTTGAAACAGCAGGCTACGTTTTGGGCAAGATTAACGGTGACCACTGGTGCCTATACATGTGCACGCCGCACCGTCTTAGCTTGGACCTCGACGGTGTCGAACTAGCCGAATCGTCATCCTCACACGACAGCGACGCTGGGTCCTCTATTAACGAAGAGGAGGAGGAAGAGGATGATGTTACTCTGGAGATTCTGATGACCCAATTGGATCCGGCTGCCATGAAGGCGTTTTGGCGTACAGCAGAAGAGCTTCGTGCTGCCAAGGACGGCAAAGACATCTCTCAAGAGGGTGCTCAACGTGTTTACCACGCAACCGGGATTGCGGACATCTACCCAAAGGCCACCGTCGATGACTATCTGTTCGATCCATGCGGATACTCTCTCAACGGACTCTTGGGCCCGTACTACTTCACCATCCACGTGACGCCGGAAGATGTGTGCTCCTACGCTTCCTTTGAGACAACTGTCCCGGTGAAGCGTTTTTACTCCCACATCCGTGCCGGATCGGAAAGTGAATACGACACATTCGAAGACGTGATTCAACGCGTCGTGTCCGTTTTTCGCCCTGGAACCTTTTCTACGACTTTGATATCGCGCAAGAGCGTTGGACACAAGCATGGCAAGACGGATGGGCTGTTGGAAGGCCATATTGGTGGATTCCGGCGCCGTGACCGGATTGTGCAGTGTTTGGGCAAGTGGGATCTGGTGTTTTGCCATTATGATCGACATGTGGATGGTACGATGATGAGAAAGGGGACCAAAACCGCTCTTCGATGACTGATAACTTTTGGGGTTTTTGACACTGGGATTTTTATGGATGATGCGGGGGGATCTTTTGACCTTTTCATGTTTTGATACGGGCCCGTCTTTCTGATATGCAGAAATGTTGTGGCTACTTGGTTATTCGACACTATCAATATACAATTGACCTGAAAGCAGTTTTCATGTAGTTTTTCTGGTTTTGGCGTCCCAGTTTGACATGCCATCCATACCGGAATGCCCGTTCAGACTAAATCTGGAGTAAACAGCAACACAGTTTACCGTTGGAACAAACTCAACGTCTCTTCTTGTCACTTGAGGTCCATGTTTGTTCACATTGTCATTCTGTTTTCTTCAAAGACACAATGCACAGAATCAATTGAAACCTACATGTTCAAACCCAAAAGTTGACAAATGAGGATTATAGCTCACTGACGGCAACACATTCCCGCGGGTGACGGTCGTATACCCAACCAATCACGTTAGGCAAGATGCTTTCATTAACCGATCATCTAAGGCTTCAGCTCGTTCATCACGCCAGACGTTGAGGGTGTAGTCCAGTCTGGTGGAGGAATCGGCGGGTTAGGTGCAATGTCGTCGATGCAATAGAGATGATGGATGTGCGTAGGATGAATTAGTACAATCCTATACTATGGAGATCTCGTCGACAGAGCCATCGATCGATATGTCAAATGAGGAGATGAATTCGTCAATGGAATGGTTTCGAGGATCGTGGTGTGGGCTTCTTATGATTTTTGCCAGGATAGAGGGAGCCGAAGCGAGAATGAACCATTGACGTTTTTCGGTTTTTAAGCAACGCCTGCTTGGTTTCTTTTATGATTTTAGACTCTGTAAAGTTGCCACGATGGGTCATTGGAAGAGCATAGTGATCTCTTTACTTCCGGCTAGAGCCAAATCACCTTGAGGCTCCATTCTAAAAATGTACATTGTACATTGTATTAGCTAGCATCCATAACGAGCCCGAGTTTTTTTTTATCAAATTTGCGACTGTCCATCCCAGGACGATGAAGATGGAAATTTGGATGAATGAGCTCACAAGGAAGCGCATCTTAGAACGTAGGAAAAAGCCAGTATCTATCTTTCCTCAGACAGTTTTTGGTAGAGCGATTCACTATATATAATGTGCATTTCAGTGGCAACTTTGCAGACAATGTACTGTACATGCCCCGCAATGTGATTCAGGCCATAGTGTTATGTTTCTCGAAGAGCTTACCAGACTGCCTAACTACCGATTGCCAACGGCTCTCTATTTGAAAGGTAAACATTTCCTCGACAATGTACATCCACACATTTAGCCTGTCAACCTTCTCCACAATACAGGCCAGGGCCAAGATATTCTGCTTGACAACGCATTGGCCGCCCTGTACTCCCCCTCCATTATTAAACAAATGAAAGACCCATAGAAAAAAAAGTAAACGCTGTTTACGGAAAAATAAACACAAGTGATGCGCACTGCGAGTCAAATAACCAAACTGTTGCGCTGTGATGGAGTTGCCAATGATCTGGGGATGATGTAGCTCTGGACTATAGTTGAACAAGAAACCACACATGGCTTTCAGGTTACCATGCCTTTTGAGACTTGACCATACAATGGACAACTTTTGCAGAAATCAGTGTTCCTTGCAATCCATCCAGCCTGGAAAGAAAAGTGCTTTTTGCTTTCAGAACTGCGATTTGGGCTGTAGTGGGTACTGGGCAATGCGCAAGTTGAGTAAGCAACCAGCCCGCAGTTAACCTTCAGATTCGAGCCATCCATTCCATCCGCTAGAATACTGTGCCACACATTAGAACCTTCCAACTGCCCCATACATTTTCTTCACGAGTCAGTGCAGGCTCAACACTCTTTCACCGTCGTCGACCTTACATTTTTGCACCTCCTACGAGCATTACCATGGCCGACCAGGGGGCGGATAAGAATGTTGAATTATGGAAGATCAAGCGGCTCATCAAGAGTTTGGAAGCGGCGAGAGGAAATGGAACGAGTATGATTTCGCTTATTATTCCGGTGCGTTTTAGGTTTGGTCCTAAATGAGGAAGTGTGGTCAAATGTGGAATGAGATGGGATAATTGAATGGTGTGGAAATGAGGGGTAAAAGGGTTATGGATATGGCTTGTTGGGAAACGAACTCTGATGGACCGATACTGGCGCATATTTTGGAACTGGATAGCGGCATGATAACAAAACGAACGATTACACACCATTTTAACGATCTTCTTTCCTATAGCCAAAGGATCAAATCTCTCGGGTAGCAAAGATGTTGGCGGATGAATACGGAACTGCCTCCAACATCAAATCCCGTGTGAACCGTCTCTCTGTCTTGTCAGCCATCACTTCTACCCAACAACGTCTGAAGCTCTACTCCAAAGTCCCACCAAATGGTCTCGTTGTATACTGTGGAACTGTCGTGACAGACGAAGGAAAGGAAAAGAAGGTCAACATTGACTTTGAGCCGTTTAAACCCATCAACACATCATTATACATGTGTGACAACAAGTTCCATACGGAGGCACTGTCAGAGTTGCTTGAGTCGGACCAAAAGTTTGGATTTATTGTCATGGATGGTCACGGAACACTGTTTGGGACTCTTGCTGGCAACACTCGTGAAATCATTCACAAGCTGCAAGTGGATCTACCAAAGAAGCACGGACGTGGTGGTCAGTCTGCCCTTCGTTTTGCGCGTCTACGTGAAGAGAAGCGACACAATTACGTTCGCAAAGTAGCCGAATTGGCAGTCCAGTTCTTTATTACGGCTGATAAAGTGAATGTGGCGGGATTGGTCCTAGCGGGTTCGGCAGACTTTAAGACCGATTTGTCCCAATCCGATTTACTTGATCAGCGTCTGCAGGCCAAGATTATCAAGGTGGTGGATGTGTCGTATGGTGGAGAGAACGGGTTCAACCAAGCCATCGAACTTTGCGGAGAAGTTTTACAAAATGTAAAGTTCATCCAAGAAAAGAAATTGATCCAACGATACTTTGACGAAATCTCGCAAGACACGGGCAAATACTGTTTTGGTATCGATGATACGTTAAAGGCCTTGGATCTGGGTGCGGTGGAGATATTGATTGTGTGGGAGGATTTGGACGTGACACGATATGTTTTGAAGAACCCCCAGACAGGGGAGGAGATTGTCAAGCATTTGAACAAAGAGCAAGAGAAGAATCAAGACAATTTCCGGGATGTGCCTACAGGCACGGATTACGAAACAGTGGACAAGATGCCGTTATTGGAGTGGGTCAGTATTGTATATGACGAAACATCCATGATGAACCGGACAATAGTCGCTGACAATCCGTTTGACATAGTTTACGGAAAAGTATAAAGACTTTGGTGCAACCCTCGAGTACATAACGAATCGATCACAGGAGGGATCGCAATTCGTGAAAGGATTTGGTGGTATTGGAGGACTGCTACGATACAAGGTAGACTTCCAGCAACTCACCTACGACTCGGACGATGAGTACCTCAGTGACTAGGCCATGTCTCTGCACTGAAAGCTGGGAGCGGAGCAGGGGAGAGATTAAAGGTTTGTATCATGCTATGTCGTTTTGATTGCCTTTGTACTTATGAAGGATGTCAGGCATATCCGTTTTGAACAAGTTCCCCCTCTATTGATCACTGGACTCGTTGCGGATCATGCCCCACACGACTTTAGATATTCTGACCTGCCGTACTGTTCCTTTGTTCGTAGAGGGCATTTCAGTTTGTCAGAACATCCCTTCTCCCATTCTGCGATATTTTTTGTGTTCTTCTTTTTTATTTGGTCATGTTGGGCTTTTTCTTTCATCTTGTAGAATTTGGTGCTTGCGTCTGTGATTTTGGTTTGGGGTTGTTCAATATGATCGGTTTTAATAGCTATAACGTGTCCAATTTGGTATCCTTGTGGTGTATAAACGTCTATTTGAAATTGCGACGTTGTGTGAACATTCAGCCCGTCCTTACACGGAGGGGAGCGCTTCAGGCAAACATTGAATCAAGGACGCAGTTGATATGGTAGCTTTATTCAGCCACAACGCTGGCATGTAACCAACAGATTTGATCGTACTCATATCAAAGTCGGCTGTTCGTCAAAGAACAACAACATGAACGACATCAAGTTTACAAAAGCTGTTCAACCATTCCGTTACTACCGCGGTAGCGACTCACGCGTCCCCATCAGCTAATCCATAAACTCCGCGCCATCATTTCGGGAATGCGGGCCCGGCTGGGGTAAGTGTGAACACCTGAAGCAAATAGAATATCTATATTATTAATTCACAAGCAGGGCAACTGGTAAGACGGTCCCGAGTTCATCAACAAGAGTTTTTTTCGGCACCTTGGTTGTGTCGGGTACAGCAAGCCAACTGATTTGGATCAAATACGGGTTACCAGTCAAGATATCAGATTTCAGTATGGGAAACCAATCATCTGTTGACAAGAATGGGGAAGATGGTTTTGGGGAGGGAATCGAGGGAATAGATTGTCGATTTGGTATACGGTCTGAGGCGGAAGTGTTCAAGTCGGAGCTAGTCTACCCTGATCCCCCAACTCCCGAGCGTACATCTTCGATACGGCCAAATACTGGGCATCCCCAAAAACCGCTGTCACTCGGTACGAGTACACCGGGTCTACACTCGCCATCCAGTCCCGATGTCCCCAAATTCGTTGCACCTTTCCAGTTTTCCACCTCTGGCACACCCGCTTTGCAAACTTTTCCGTCCGCCCCCTTCACGTTTGACCTACCACCTCAAGCACGATGGCTCCAGCCGCCATGTCATCTCGTAAATCATCCACCCGCACTGTCGCAATCACCCAAAGACCGGTCCCGATCTCCGACAATGCTTCCGTCACATCAACACACTTGTTCGACAATCGAACCCACCACGTTGGCGATTGTAGAAAAGGATGCGTTGCAAGGAAAACCAAACTTGTTTGCGATGCTCAAAGAACAGCATGCCAAACAGGGGATATTTGATCCCGCGTATAGCTCGTTTCCATGTCGATTTATGCATACGGCGAATACCATGGAGGGATCCCATCAGATTAGTCGGTATGTGATATTCAACGGATCGGTAGTACAGGTACAGTTACATGTATTGAATGGTGTGCGCGTTTTCTTTCATGATAGGTATGCGCAATCGGATGCTTTTGTTGGGATGGAGCAAGCAAAGGTGATGATGACCTCGTGGACTGAGGTGCCCAGAACAGAAACATTTACACTTGGAAATGGGATTGTGCTCACGGGAGGGGCTAAATATCAGCGCATACAGGTAGAACAGGCTCGTCTTTTTGGAAATTGTGATGACGGTTCTGAGCAAGTAGTTTCTGTTTGGATAGGGCGCATTCGGTACAGCTGTCAAAGTCGAAGGAATTATCCTGGCTGGTCTTGTTCCCCGTGTGCAAAATGCAACACCTTGGGATTGGGCAGAATCCAACAGTCCAGTGACGGACCTCTCACCCGCCGCAGAAGACGTTAGCAATAAATGGACCCAAGCTGCTCCATCGTGCTTTACAAACGGGTCCGCACTGGATGCACCCAAATGCTACGTTGGATTTGTTGCAGTTAATGTTCTGCCTTCGACCGCCGATAAACCGTTCGTGTTGCATCATTTTGAGAATGGGACGAGGATTGGGCATCATTTGCAGTTGCTTGAGGGGGCGCATTTGGACAGCCAGATGGTCATTCATGGGCCTTTTATGTGAGCGTCGTTTAATTTGATTTTACCTTCAGGAACACAATGATTGATCTATTATTTGTTTGATAGTTTTAAGGGAATCAGACTAGGTGCCAATGCCATCATTCACGCCGACGGAGTGTTTGCAAAACTACATCATGCAAAACCTGGGACGGCTGTCACAGAGACGACTGGCAAGTTTGACCCGACACGAGCAGAAATCTTTTACAAGCATTTGGAGGCCATCAAAGCAGCCCAAGCACGAAAAGAAAGCGGCGATTCCACTAAAGAAAAGAAGGAATCCAAAAAAGAGGAAAAGGAAGAAGATGCTAAAACACCCGCACCACAACGAAAGCAGATATACGTTGAAATCTGTATTGACAGAATGCTCAATCCCAAACTCTTTCGTTCCTCCGAACCGTTTAAACACCCTGCTCTCCTCGACCGTCCCAACACTGTCCGTACAGCCGCAAACACCGTCATGAGTTTCTCACAGGCACCGGGTAACCACGCACCAAATATTCCAACCATTGACTGCTACGGCTTTCATGAAACAATCCTTCCCGCCCATCTCCACACCACACTTCGTCGTCCAGCGGCATTATGCCACCCAAATGCCATTGCAGCGACCGAGATTGCGTTTGGCCACCTCGAGCGGCGGTGTGCGTTTTGCGGTGTCACCCGCACAAGAGAGAAAATGGCATTATGTGGACAGTGCAAGTGTGTTCGGTATTGTTCAAAAGAATGTCAAAAGAACCATTGGAAGAGTGATCATCGACGGTGGTGTGCAGAAGCTGCTGTGTTGGGTGATGGAAATAAGGTGGAAAGCAGTGTGGCTTCAAATACGCAGGCTGTGCCAAAGCAGGACGCTCAGACGGCTGAAGATGCAGCTCTGGATGAGATTGCGAGGTTGCTTGATGCGGATTTGGACTTGCCAGAGAGACCGTTTGAGGGGGCCGATCTTGGAGGCATTGACATGCAGCCGGGACTTCCTCCAAGTGCGTTCGACTCTTCCACCCCTGTTCCACCTCCCGCTGTCGTTCACGCACCTCTTGCTCAACCTTCACCGCAATCTGCACCGCAAACAGCACCGCAAACAGCACCGCAAACAGCATCGCAAACAGCATCGCAAACAGCACCACAAACAGCCCCGCAACCCACACCTCCACCGTCAAACCACCGTCCAACACCGTCCAACCGTCCCACCAACCTCCTACCTGGCGTTCCCCTCTTCATTCCCAAAGACCCAGCAAACCCCAACGCTTTCGTCACCCTAGACCAAATCCGCGAGCATTTCAATAGACAGTACGCTGATCATGTCTCGATTGATAATATACCTCCAACTACCAAATGGGACGATTTGTGGGATGTCATGTCGCGTGAGGGCGATATCAAGTTTATGAAGTACGAAGAGGGAGAGGTAAAGTATCTGTTTCTTTTTTTTTGTTTATTGAGTTATTGTGGGTTTGCAGTTTGGCACTCCTAAACAATGGCATGGCACTCAAACCGATTTACTCCTTCAATTAGACATCTGCATCCGTCCAGTACGACGACGAAGCTAGTGCCAAAGCCCTCATCGGCAAACCCCTCAAGCTGGGAAATACCACCATCATTCCTCGGGGTGCAGGCGACACTAAACTTGAATTCCGCAAATCCCTTCCAAAACCCCTCATATCAGCCAAAGATTTCTTACAGAGTTCCTTTGCGCCGCCTGCTTTGCCTGCTAAAAAAGCGGGAGGGATACGGATGCCGGAAAAGAATCGCAAAGCTGCTGCGACCAAGGTGGCTGCAAAGACGACTGTCAAAAAGTGAACGTCGTGCACACTCTGCTGTGTTGTCAGTAGGACTAGATCAGTATGAGAAAAGAAACAGATAATGATTACACTGTAGAAATCGCTGAGGTCTGTTACAGGTTGAACACGCAGAGTAATACTGTTTGGGGGCAAAAAAAAACCAATCGTGTCATATGCAACATCAATGGCCATTGTACACCCGTTCCAGGCAAACCTCACTCACCATGGGCATTTGCGTTCCTAAAGACTCTGACCTCGCACTTGCCAACCACAGTGCATTTCCCTTTCCATGGATTCAAACTCGCTGAGAGGCAAGAGATACGTTACCATTACAGCCCCCTGAGGCAAAGATCCTTACTGTACTGCTGAGCGGCGTTACGCACAAGACAATGAATGGCATATTGTGTCAGTTTACAGACGCACTGACCAAACTTCATTTCAGCAGCGTCCTGAATACAGGTTTGTGTGAGCCGCAGACTCTTTTTTTTTTTGCATTCAACCAACAGCGTTTGCTGACAGGCAAAATATCTGTGCACTCTACTCCTTTTAATGTAGAACATTTAGACGGCGAAGATGGATCTGCAGTACACAAAGCTCCCTTTGATGATTTTTTATCGTCTTGTCTCTGGCAAAAAGAGATTTTTGGGCTGTACGAACTCATCTTCCAGTATATTCTAGATGCCACGCACTGGAAATTGACATGTTGCACTGTGTAAGAAAAAGGTGTGAGATTTGCAAAGTGCCTCCCCAAAGCACAAAAAGGTGAAGATTTCGGTGGTAAGCAGTACGATCCTTCCAACCATGTTGCAATGCGAAAGCACGGAAAACCGCACATGTCTTACCAGAGCACCAAACGAGAGATTTCTTTCTCCAGTAAGCACTAGATGGATTTTGAACTGTGTCAAAGGAAAAGCACACAAGACTTACCAAAGCACAAAAAGTGAGATTTTGGAAAGTCCTTCTGTAGGCCACGACAAAACAGAATGGTTACTCTTGGAAAATGAACCGTCAAAACGAGAACATTACGGTCACTGGAGATTCGCATCTGGGGGGATTCTCATCCATCACATCCATCACACTACCGATTCGCTTTGAGTTTTCCGCGGTATTCAACAAGGCGACAAACAGGCTGCTAATCTCAGCAACCTAAAAAACAACGCTATCATTTGCCAGATTCCGTAAACGATCATGACAAAGATATGCTCAACCAGATAAATAAAAAATCCTATGCCACAAGAAAAAAAACAAAAAAGGTCGGGGGAATCTCCATTTTCAATCGTGGCTTTGAGCTCAAATGGCGGAAACCATTTTCACTCTGCAATCCGCATACTTTTGCCTTTTGGCGGAACTGTTCTCCGCAGCACGCACTTTATCAAGGTTTTTTGCCTTAGCATTTTTTGCACAAGGTTTTTGATTCAAAGGACGAGTCGGGATTCCGTTGCCCGAAACATATCAGATGCCATCCTACCGGATGCGACATATCCCGGCAATCAAAAAAAAAAAGAAATTATTACCTCCGATGCTGCCGAACAGCCCATATTGCTAAAAACCCGAAATAAACAAATAATCATGCAAAAATCCTCCCCAAATTTCCCGTATCGAAAATCCCCAAAATCGGCAAGTCACCGGAACGTGCTAAGCACTTGAAACCTTGTTTCAGATGCCCCTGATCGCCCATTTGTATCGCTATGCCGGTGGTATGGGAAGAACGTGATATTTGCCTTTTATGGGTACATGAAACGCGGTATAAAAATTGATTGTTGTGGATATAAGGTGTTGTGATTTCGGACAAGTGTTCAAAGCAAAAGTGTTCCAAAATGGGGTGTTCAATGTTTATGTTGTGGATCGTTGGCACACAGCGTTGAATGGAGTAAAGGTCATGGAAGGGCGGGGATGAACCACATGGACATTATGCTCTCTGTGTTCAAAAAGTGATGATGGGTGGAAAAGGGCGGGTTTGAGTGGAGCAAACGGCGTATGAGGATCTACTCGCAAATAGAGATTGTAAACAACAAAGCACCCGCGATACACCAAGTCAATAGATTCTTTCCATGTCTCACACAATCTTGTCCACAATTATCTTGCGAGATCCATTTTTGTTTTTTTTTGCCATGCGTCGGGTTATAGGCGGAGGTGTTGACAAAGACGTGACAAGGGCCTTTCATGGTGTGTTGCACCGGGATAGGTTTTTAGTGATCGCAACACAATGCTGTGGATGATCATTTTCATTTGATCAGTGACAACTACCCATTCATTGCCTCCCCCATCCACCCACAGACCTTCTTTCCATACTACAGATAAGATGGGGGGTATCGCATAGACATACACTTGGCGATATGCGTGGGTGGAGTGTTCCTAGTTTCGGTAAATGCCCCTCGTTTACGAAAAAAATCCAACACCGAGAAAATGATGGAGAAATGGCAGTCGTGGCTGGCTGCTACTCCATTCTCTCGACTCCTTGGGCTGAGCGGAAACCTGGCCAAAAAGAGTGAGATCTGACAGTATCTGTGCATAAGGAGCAAATAGCGAAAAACAAGAAAAAGCGAAACTGACAACTGATACGCCCATTTTTTTTACTTGTCGTCTGGAGCCTTGTTTTCACCTGTGTGCAATTGGAAATAAGTGCATTTTGGTAAAGCCAAGTTCGACAGGAAAATTGCGACAAGGCAAGAAAAGCAAAAAAGGCAAAAAGACAAGGAGACAAAAAATAATGTTGGCATTAAAGACTAGTAGGAAAAAGTTGGTTAGTGTGGCGTTTACACCAAGTAGCGGTTTTCCACCTCGAGTGTAACATACCACTAGAACACATTTGGGGGTATCGTGCACCTTTTGACACTCGGATTTTTTGATCCTGTCGTGTTTCGAGACAAGATACCATTCGTTTTAACGCTTGCGTGCAACGGTAGTGGACAGAAATCTGTCTCAGTTGCCTTTCTCGCTCAAATGCCAATTGGAGACTTTTCGCTTACCTGTCCACTGGTCATTAGGGCAATTGAACATTCGTGCTTTGCAGTGCAGAGTGTGACGAGCCTTTAGACTCCTACCACTTGACATGTTCGCGGGAAATGGGGGAAGCAAAAGGCATCACCGCACGCACTATGTCTTGAAAGGAAAAAAAAAAAAGTCATCCACACGTTCCAAACACAGACTTGTAAGCCTCACAGCCTCTGAGCTATTGGAATCCCCCCCTCAGATCAAAGACAATTCAAAAGGAGGAGGCTGCCGCGTGCTCCCCCCTCCTTCTCGTCGCCCACATCCCGACTCTTCATCCGCCACATTTCCCCCTCAGCATTAGACTTTAGAGTTCCCAACCCTGGGAGACCTTTCACCCTTGTACCTTTCTGCTTACATACATATTCATACCATCGTCCTTACTTTGCGTACCTCCATCAATGGAAGGATTCGATCTAGAGATCTTTGGTGGCATTGTCCCCATGCATGACTTTGACATGCCCTTGTGCAATGAGGATATATCATCCTTCTCTTGCACGGCATCAGATACCACCGAATCTCTGTCAGACAGATCAGCATCACCGTCATTGGAGCCTAGCTCTCCAACATCTGCGCCTGTTACCGATGACAAGGCTGAGAAGGAAACCCTCCTTCGTTTCGATACCCTCACAGAGACAATCAAGGAAGAAGAACCTGCCACTGGCATTTTCGTCGACAATATGATTGAGCTCGGCTACGGCAAGGTCGATACCCAATTATGGGGCATGAGCTACGCCGAACCCACTGGCGCCGCGTACTTTGAGCCCTATGGGCTGTTGACACCCGTCCTTGAAAAAACAGTGCCCTTTTTTGCGGACCAGATCCAGCAGTACCAAGTTGTCGAATACGATTACCTCCCCACTCCCACAGACGAGAGGAGCATGTCTTTCAGCTCGGCTTCCTCTGGTTGTTGCTCAGAACCAGAAATGTCATCGCCGGTTATGCAACCACGACAACTTCAGACACCGCCTCCGTCCCCTTCTTCTGGAAAGGCTACCCTTAAGCCAGAAGACGACGAAGAAGTAGCATTGGATGAGAGTGTTGTTACCACTGAGGCAACAGCAACTGTCGCAGCCCCCAAATCGGCTGGCAAGTCCAAGGGACTTCGTGGTATCCCCTCTGATCAGTTTTTCGTCATGGAAAACGCTTTCACACCGTCTCGCCCTCAAAACTTTCGCCAACAACAGCACTTTTCCCACCCAAACGTGACACCTCATTACCACCCTTACCAACCTGCAAGCAACGCCCGCGCTGTAGCTTACCGTCCGGCGCCAATTACCATCTCCCCAACCGCTACCTACGCATCAACGGCCGCCCCGGCCCATTCCACCTTGTCACCAAAACCATCTTCTCCCACCGACGCTTCCACCCCAACAACTCCCCTTTCCGCTCCTGCCCTCCCCACAACCATCGCCCCTGTGCGCTCCTCCAGCAACCGCTCCACAGCTTCTCCCCACCCCAAACCCTTCCACTGCGAAATGTGCCCAGCATCCTTTTCCCGCAAGCATGACCTGAAACGCCACACTAGAATTCATCTTGGGATTCGTCCCTTCAAGTGCGATGCCTGCGGCAAGGTATTCTCCCGGCACGACGCCCTAAATAGACATGTCATCAAATGGGGATGCAACAAGAAGCTGGAAGCAATGGCAGTTGCCGCTGCAGCTGCAGCCGCCGCCGCCGCAAATGGAGGATCACCCTTTGTCGTCTCGCAAGAGATGGTCAACATGGGATACGGCATGAGCATGGGAGTTGTCCCTCACCAAGGGATGGATGCCTATGGTTTGGGATTGTCCTACTAGACTAGAGAAAGAAAGTAACTTTCTTTTTTATAAATTATGCACAGAGTTGACAAGTGTACATAGAGTTTTCCTGATGGACGGGGGTTGGCTGGCTTATCCTTTCGTTCCTGCACACTATTTAGATATATAGAGTTATGGGGTTGGGTCGCAAAATGTGCTGTATCATATAGAGCGAGACTGATTTGTGAGATAGATACTAGATCTGGCCTGCGTTTAGAAAAGAGATTAACATACGAGACTATTGAACATTGTATTTCCTTGTGCCCTCATCTGTTTTTTATTCTGCTTGTTGTCCAGCTAGCAACTTGGTACAAATAAAGTTTCAACCCCATGGATAAGAACGATGCAGGTTGAGCTTTTGGCATGAGATTATCAGCTTATCAGGAATTTTGGGAGGTTTTGAGGATGGCGGGTTAGGAATAGAGCTGGCTTGCAGCTCAGTTCCGCAAGCATTAGCCAGAAAAAGTCAAGAAGCTCATTCGTGACGTTACGTAATTCGGACATGGAACACATGTCCGAATGAAATCGTTGAGGCTCCCAATAGCGTGTCCGCCCTCCTCATCCTTCTTCCCCGTGCTTCCCTCTGCATTTTTGGTCTGCACCATGAGTAACACCCTCGAAGCAGAGATCTCTATCAAGGCCGATGCTCTATCCTTCCTCAGAAGGCAACGCACTGTGTGCAGAGGTCTTCAGCATTGAGCTTGTCGCCAAAACCAGTCTGAATATAATTGACGATACAAAATCTGCGAAAACCTTCCGGCTCTGGCGTGCTGGTCTGACTGGATTCACGGCATCATATAAAGAAATCTCATGCAAAAGCACCTTACACAAATCAAAATGACCTTAATCCTGAATCTCCATTCCCTCTACCTCACCACCCGCCTGTCCCTTCCTCTCACCAGCTCCGACAACGGTCACACCAACCCCGCGCTCCCAGTCCTCCGAAACATCAAAAACAGGCATCGGATAATCCGTCACGCGAACATTTTTTTCAGTTTCATCGCTGACGAGTGTGACGAGGACAGTTCTGTCCACGTCGACGTCAATGGAGAGTGTGATGTGTTTGTCTTGGGTTGGGATGGGTGTAGAGAGTGTTGCGAGGAGGTGACACGTTTTAGGATCCGTCGTGTCGCCTTCGTAGAGTTTGATGACTGCGATGGGTGCAGGAGGTGTAGAGGTTGGCGGAGTGGTAGGCGGGATGGGACGGAGTGTCACGGTTGTTTGGGCTGGCAGGGCTGTGTTTCTTTTTAAGAGAGTTTTGATGGTGTTTGTGGTCGTGTCGAGGATACCGAGTGAGAAGGACAGGGAGTCTATTAGCAGACTTGTGAAAAATGGATGTGATGAGCGTCCTTACGGAAACGAAAACACGGAAAGTGAACGTACTAGTTTGTAATATTCGGACTCCGCATGCCAGACAGTAAAGCCGATTCAATGCCTGCGCCGTAACCTACTGCCTGTTACCCAATCATACGACTGTTAATGAACCGTACGGTTGATGAAAGGATAGCGTGCAAGGCGACGTTCACCTTGTGCTTATCAATAAGTGCGAAATCATAAATATGATTTCCCGGAAAGAGGCTTGAGATGCGATCTCGAAGCTAAACGAAAAACATTGTGTAAATATAAAGAGTTGAGGTTGCGAAAAATAGGCATAGAGCGTACTTTTGGAAAATGCGATCCACCGCCAGAGAGCACTACTTTGCTTATTTTCGTAATGTCCATTTTGGCTTCCACGAGTACCTAACAAAAACGCCCAATACGAAATTATCAGTAACTACTTTATAAGTCCTATAAATGAATGAGATAAAACACACCTGTTGAATGGGGACGAGGCACCGATCAAAGAAATCTGCGCAAAGTGTCTCTAGGAGCTCGCGTGTCATGGTCATTGCATACCTACAAGAACAAGTCGGTTACCGATGAGAATATGGGATGGGTAACGAGTATGTACATACGCTCCAGAGGAAAGCTGGATGGTATGCGAAATACTATCAGCGGTAGACAAGGCTGTGTTCAAATGTGTGAGTCTTACAATAGATTGTGGGGAGAATGGCAGGGCTTTATTACCTTTTTTGATTTTCTCTGCACCAAAGCGGAGAGAGAGCAAGTCCAAACTAGTAAGTTTCCTATTCGATTGCTTTGAAAGATCCTATACAAATATGTTAAAAGCATTCAACCGAGCAAAGAGTAGTGTAAGAAAAGTACTACCTGCACAAAATGCATCAAAAGCCTCACATCCACATCTGCGGCACCAAATCCCACATCTCCAGCAGAAGCCAGCACTTCAAACACTTCTTCATCAATCCCGACAACAGCACAATCAATATGAGCGGCACCGAGGTTGAATGATAAAACATATTCAGTCACAGAAGTGGGATGAGCAGGCCGGTCGAATCCAAATGCAATGGCAGCGGCTGCTGCGTTGCTAATAAGACGGGCATGTTGGAACCCGGCTTGGCGGGCTGCTTCTTTTGTTGCGTCTCGTTGTAGGAGGGTGTATCCTGCTGGGACGGTAATGACCGAGCCGGTGATGGGGTGGCGGAGGGCTTGTTCGGCGTTTTGCTACAGTTGTAGGAAAGTTGGATTGGTGATGAGGTGAATTAGAAGGGCTATGGGGAAGGGAACATACCCTTGCATAGGTAAGAAGGATAGCGGTGAGGTCTTCGGGCCTGTAGTGCTTCTGCCGGCCGTCGTGCTCGATTTCGACGCATACCTATAATATGCAGAGCATAAGCCCGATGCGAATTTCTACATTGTCCGACAAGAGAAAGTATGCCGTGTGCCATGTGTGTATACACCATGGCATCGCTGGCTGTGCGAGAACCCAAGAGATGGTGCTACAGACCGATAATGACACTAGCTCAATCCTAGTCCGAATCTCATCCAACTTTTACTCTACAAGCCTAACCCAATTCTCTACACCTAACCTACTGCAAACCTATTTAAAAAAGACTTACCCTCGCGTACTTGTCCTTGACCAACCGATAAGGCGCATACCTCTGATAAAATGCCACCCGCTCATCATCAAACTTGAGTCCCACCAGCTGAGCCCAAGAAAAGACAGTCGCCTTTGGATACTTGAATAACCACCTCTGAGCCTCCTCACCAACAACAGGATCACAAGCCTTGCGTCCCGATTCAACGAGTTCAATGTCGTCGGGGAAAGCAACAAAGCAGGGCGTCTTGCGTTTGTCTCGCTCGTTGGGGACAAAGCGGACGGTTTGGAGATCTGGATGGTAGGCACACAGACGGAGGAGAGTTGTTCCCAAGTCTATTCCAATGTAGTGGCTTCCGGGGGGAAGGGATGGAGAGCGGGAGCGAATGGATGGTTCGGGCGATACAGTCATGGGCTCTCTACCTCGTTCATCTCCACGTTCAGCAGTAGGTGTGGGTGCGGGCATTGCAGTTGGCATATTGGACGATAGATGTATAAAGTAAAATCAAGGCAACACTAGAGAGATTGAGCAGAGTTTGCGAGATAGAGCAATTTCACTCTAGACAAAAACTAAACGACTCGAAAAAGTATTTGTATAATTCTTTCGGCACAAGATATTCCAAAGGCACTTGCTACAGCAGATACATAAATGAAAAAGGCAAGAAAAAACAACTACATAATATCAACAAGAACCGTGGTAGACCCTCAAGGCCATGTCCAACGACCAGACCCGTATGTGTCATGCAAATACTTGACTCTGCAAAAAAAAGAAAAACAGAGGGTAGCAGCAGAGGCAAGCCCTGCACAGCGCCAAAAGAACACTTCGGGAAACGCAACAAGGCAAACGCCCCTTCAGACAGCTGACAGCCGTGACGTGATCTTATCACTTTTAACGTCAACGAAACTTTGGGTTCTTTCGACCTGCCCTTCTTTTGAATTCCCTTTTCAATGTTTAAACTGAAGGGAAATCATAACTCTTCTCGTAACTTTGTGTGAGCGCATTTTAAACAAAACGCAGGTCATCGCAGTTATGTCACAGTCATGTGTCTATTGCTCATGAAGATGATCTTGCGTTGCCGACAAGCTTTTCTCTTTGAGATCTCCTTCATTGTAAGGTCCATCAACCTCTCTGTTCATATCTCCTTCAATTGAAGCCACTTAACCTCCTTCACTTCAAGACATTGACCAAACGGCGCTATTGATGATTGCCTCACTACCGGATACATCACCGAAGTGGGGCTTCTCCACCTCTCCTTGATGTTGCATCTCGAGGTTCACTATCAACCATACTGGTTCTTGCGCCAGGTCGTAGCCGCTGGAATCATATGTTGACGGACATGGAAGTTCTGTCGTAGTTCTCCTCTCAATCTAATGACACTTGTCCTGTTGCCTCACCACCAGATACACGACATTAGAATTCAAAACCAAACAGACATACACTGGTTACACTGGCTAATTGATAGGAATACGAACCTGAGCTCCTCGCCTTTAGTCATAGACCTTTTCATCCACTACGCTAGATCTCAAAAGCATATTGGCTTCAGGTTTCTGCTGCCGATTGGCGCAAAGACTTACGAGGCAAGTCCAATACATGCGCTCTCATTTTCTTATAGTATTCTTATGCATGAACATCCTAACCTCAGAGCTCATATCCCCCATGGCTTGGGTACGTCAGAGATGCCTCATCCATAAGAAAATTTCGGACAAACAGAAGCCAAATATCACTGAGTATGTACGCATGTCTTCAAGGTTACAACACATGATGGAATACAAAACTGCCCATCTACACAGCACTTTATACATTCAGTCTTCGCCCATTAATTACAGAACAATTTATACAATTCACTAGTCAAAACAAATCTTGCGCTTTCTTAATAAGGAACCGTCCATGGAAGGCCTGCACACTGATATGCTCGGTATTGATCGGCGATGGGAATATAATCGTCACCGGCGCTCCTTTGGAGACCACGTTCAGCTCGCATGGTTCAGTATGGTTCGGAATCGAGAAGGGCACAACGGGCGTCGGCGGTCCCAGTGTCTTGTCCCATTGTCGTGTGGGGCGGGCACGAACAGGGCAACGCTCCGCCTCTTGAGAATGTGAGGATGGATCCTTGTATCTGGCTGTGGGGAAAGAGGCGGACGCTCCGCCGCTTGATGAGACTCGGGTTTAAATTGTTGCGTCCTTGACAGCGGTTGACGGACGAGATTGTTGAATGCCCAACGGGCTGACGAAGGGTTCTCTCTGTTTGTGAGGCCCAGGCCAATGCAAAGAAATGACAATAAATAGCAAAAGCATTTACCAAATATTGAACAGGAGATTTGTCTAACAAACGGAGTTCAAACGCTAAGGGAGCAAGCACCCATGCCATTTGAGCGAGAGCCCATCCTTTGGCGTCGGACAGAGTGGAAATTCACACATGTCCTAACCCCCGTGAGCAGAACCCACTGGAGAAATGTGTCCGGATAAACCGAACCCGCCAAGGACTGGACAGACACCACCCAAGATAACACTTGGGAGACGTGCACTCCCTCCCTAGTGCCCATCCTCTAGCGTCGGACAGAGTGAAAATTCACACATGTCCTAACCTCCATGAGCAGAACCCATTGGAGAGATGTGTCCGGATAAACCGAACGCGCCAAGGACTGGACAGACGTGTACCGTTCGAGAGTTGGCTGAAGCGTGTACCGATGGCGACGCTTCCAAGTGGCATGGGTACTTCGGTCTTTGAAACTTACTGCCAGACATGTCGGTGGGGAACTAAAAGCATAGACAGCCAGTGAGTAGCGCGAACGCACAAGCATGACGGAAACAAAGGCATCTTACCCTCGACCAACAACAGATGGTTCCCACGCCAAGATGATGAGATCGAGATGGGCAGCGTTTTTATACACGATAATCAGCGGTGGCGCAGTACTGTTGCCATAGCATCCATATAGGTCCATCCGGGTAGACGCGTGTCCATATCCCATCCATATCACGTGTCAGCTACTATTCCACGTGACTCTATATTTGTCCGATTGGACAGACGCCAAGGGCGAGAAATTTGAGATTCGACGTGACAAATGACTTGTGCCCACAGCCCCAATGACCTGATCTTTTTGGTTAAGTAATACGGAAGTGGAAAATCTCCGCTTTCCTTCTTGTCCTTCTTTTTTTTGTTTTAGCCGTTCGTTTTGTTTTATAAAAGGACTGTATCGGTTTTGTCTTTCAGCATCAACCTACCACGTCAAGCACCTTAACAGCTTCCATTGACACCCCGCGCATACATACACACATTTGACATGTCCATGTTCTTTACTCGCCGCTCACGGTCTCCCGTCCTCCCCCTCTTTTCATCATCATCATCCACATCACACTCGACATCATCATCACAAGAGCAAACCGCAGTGGAAATGGTGGACATGTCGTTTGTTCACAAATCACACACAGCTGGATACCTCTTGGAAGACGCTTCTCCTACTCCCGACACGGCTTCCGATGACTCGTTCCTCTCAACAACGAGTTCCTACATGTCAGATATCCACGTTGACGAAATAGAGGATGGCCTCCCCAACGTCATTCGCGAAAGGTCGCTTCCTTCACCACCTTCGAAACGACGTGTAATACAGTCCCTCAAGGGTGTCTTTGGCATGATGTAGTTGTTAGTCATCTGGATGACGTTCAAGACATTTTGGGATGGATATGGGACGTGTACATATAATATCGGGTTTAGTATTAGTGGATTATAAGGCCAAAGTTTCAAAGTTCATTTTAATAGAGTGTATTGTCAAAGTATCAAAATGTCGCTGGCATGAAATATTTGGTTTGCATCGTAATCTGCGGAGTTGAACACTGGTTGAACCGCTCCACCCTCCGTCTGTCATCACGTTTCGCCCATCACGGCGATCACGCAGCCCAAAGGTCGCTAATTACGTAGCCGCAAGTTAGCTTGCCGTTTAGGCCGCTGTCGGGCCGACGTCCCCAAAAAAAAATAGGTTTCAAAGTTTTTTGGCGTCCAAGTTCCGTTCGGACCATTTTTATCCAAAGCGCAGCGGAAGTCAGCTGTAGCTCTCATGTGACCTGTGTCTTTCATTCTTCCATTTCTGGACTCAATGAGATCATGTGATCAGTTATGATTTTTTTTGGATAAGCTCACTTTGTCATTCTGAGTTGTTGATCGCTTGGAGGTTTTGGGCATTTTCACGAGCGGCATTTAACCATCATGGCGGCAGATTCGGTGCAATACCATCTCGAACGGATGGTGCCCGAGTTGGAGGACCTCCAAGAACGCGGCTTCTTTACTGCTGTATGTCGTTGTTCTACCGTTTGAGTTTGTGACCAACTTGAATAACACCATGGCCCATTTTACACCAGGCGGAGATAAAGTCCATTGTCAAACAACGCACAGCACACGAGTACCGTATCCACCGTATCATTCCCCTCAAATCCGATTTTCTCCGCTATATTGCTTTTGAGGAAAATCTGGAGCGCCTGCGACGGAAACGAAAGCGACGAATGGGACAAGAAAAAGAGGCAGCAGCGCATGGAAAGCCTTCTGATCCCTCTGAGCCACCACAGAGCAGTTTATCTGACTATAGTATCATGCGGAGAATCCATGGGCTGTATGGAAAGATGCTGAAAAAGTTTAGCGGGGACACCTTACTGTGGGTTCAGTACTTTGATTGGTGCAGAAAAGTCAACAGCTCAAAGGCACTCGGGAAGAACTTTGCCAAAGCGATTCAGCTACATCCGACAAAAGCCACATTTTGGGTTATGGCTGCTGCATGGGAGTTTGAGCAGAATGCAAATATGACATCTGCACGTGTCTTATTGCAACGGGGCCTGAGGATCAATCCGGAGAGCCAGAAACTGTGGTTGGAGTATTTCAAACTGGAATTGTTATGGATTGAAAAGATCAAGGAGAGGAGAAAGGTTCTCTTCAAGGATGGTGTACCTGGAGGGACGGCAGATGCCGGTCAAGATGACTCCAATGATGAGAGCAGCGAAGGAGTTACAGTTCCACAGCTCCAGGAAGAAGCACATCTCTCCGCTACATCACTTGAACGCGATCCGACCGTCTCATCATCGACCACCCAGTCCTCCGACACAGCCGCTCTCTTGAAACCCACCCTCACTGCAATGCAACAGACCCTCCTTAACGTTCTCATTCCCCGTGCCGTTTACCGCAACGCCATCAAAACCATCCCAAAGGACTTGGACTTTCGTATCGCTTTTCTGGGCATTTACAAGGACTTTGGTGCCGAGACCCTGGCGGGACAAGAAGAAGTTTACGAGAGTTTACGTGAGGACTTTGGCCATCTCCCTGCAGCACAGCGTGTGTTGGCGGAGCGGCATGTTGATGGAGTTGATCCCACTGACCCGGCATATCCGGCTGCACTAAAAAAGGCTGTCCAAGCCTTCAATAGTGCTGTGGAGCAACTGCCATCGTCAGAGATGTGGGAGCGGTATGCAGACTTTTTGGCAACCTCGCTAACACGTGTTCAAGAAGAGAATCTGGTGCGTTTCTTTTGTAATTCGTTTATGGATGACATACCAAACTCACGTTGTTCTTATAGACAAAATACCTCACCCACCTCCTCCTGAAATCCATCACCCACGCCCACACTCACCACTTCGCCACTGAACGCATGTATCTCACCTGGGCAAAACACTCTGCGCCATTACCCGTCCTCCAAGCCGCTCTTGAACGCCTCCCCGGTAGCGCCCAATTATGGATATCCATCATTTCGCACAGTAAGGACGAAGCCAAACAAGAACTCTACGAAAAGGCTATTAAAGCCGTCCAAAAAGATGAACAACACGTCATTTGGACGGCTTACTTGCAGTCGCTGACTCAACACTGGGCTCCTCCCGTCACGGCCGACTCTGACGCTCCCGACTCGTTTTCCTCCATCTCAAACCAATTCACAAGAGCCCTCTCTATCCTCTCTTCTACTCCCCACGAAGACACGATTCTATCCCTTTACCTCCATTTCGCACGAACAGCGGGATTAGGACGTCTTCGAAGTGTTTACGACCGTCTTATCGGCACAAAAACTCGCAGCACGTCATTTTATAGGACCTGCATCGCGATGGAAACGGAGGGTGCTAAACGGCCAGTGTCTGTTGATATGGACATGGTGCGGAGGGTGCGGAGGCTATGGGAAGGTGCACTGAGTTCCAATGTGTCCAATATAGGTAAGTCCTTTGCTAATGTCTATGCATGGGATAGAGTACTCATGGAATGTGTGCGTATCTACAGATACGTGGCTAGATTACATTCATTTTGAAATGACCGTCCCAAAGGACTTTGATCGTGCGGCTCAGTTGTATTGGAAAGCTAACAAATGTGTTAGTGATCAGGAAGAGTTTGTGAGACGGTACGAGGAAATGAAGGGCGGTTTGTGAATTGCGTCTTTAATATACTTGAGCGATTGTACCTGCACGTCGTGTTGCGAATTTGGTGCGGATCCGTGCGTCGTCCCAAAGATGCTTTTCTAAAAGTAAGATCCATGCGCTGCTTCATTGCTACAAGGTGGCACTGACCAACACATTTGATAATGTACAAAAACCATACTACGTTTCCTGACATCTACTTGCGATGCAGTTGTCCTGCGGGTTTTTGGTGTTTATATTGCGTGAATGACAAAATGATTTTGTCGTATTTGAACATGTCACTACTGCTGTCGTGACTTTTGCCGTGCGCAGGACGGAGGTGGAAACACTTTGTCCTGTCACGGCTTTAGCACGCTGTCCGTCTTGGAGAGAGATCATTGGCGTGAGGCATTGCGTTCCAAACTGCGCAGTTCTTGTCATTCGTGTCAAACAGACTTGGGCAGTTTTCAACAAATGCTCCATTGCTGGCCATTCCAACAACTGTCTTCCCTGCTGCTCTTCCCTGCTGCTCTTCCCAATGCAGTTTGTTGACAAAGAAATAAAAAAAAGAAACTCGTCGAAACCTCGAGATCTTTTACAAATGCAAGTTGCCAACCAATCAAAATGACAAAAAACGCGCGTCGAACCTTCTGGCTTGCTTGCAGGACTTGGAGGTTTTTTTTTATTATCCGCATTTCAAACGACGAGATTCTGCGCAATCTTGTAGCGGGTGACGGGTTTACATTTTCGTATTTGTTATTTGGAGGCTGTTTGCGTTGTCGTTGTCGTTCGTCATTTATTGAGGTGCTTTTACTTGGTGAGTTGCAGGTGAATGGAGAGCGGGCGTTGCTAGGGCAAAAAGTTGGAGTTTCGCTGGAGTGTCTATTTTTTCCAGCCAATCGCAACTAGATTGACTTGATCTGTTGTGGATACTGATTGTCAATTCTCTTCCTGGCACCAACAGAGTACGTTTTGGGACACCACATTCCCCACACACAAAACAACCACACGAATCCCCACATCCTACTGCGCAACAACCGTTTGCCATGGTCAAGGACACAAAATACTACGACCTTTTAGAGGTTGCTCCGGGCGCTTCAGAATCAGAGCTTAAAAAGGCTTACAGAAAGCTCGCTCTGAAATACCACCCAGACAAGAACCCGGATGCCGGAGACAAGTTCAAAGACATTTCCCACGCCTACGAGGTTCTCTCCGACCCGCAAAAACGTGAAGTGTACGACCGATACGGTGAAGAAGGTCTTCAGGGCGAGGGAGCCGGTGGTGGCATGTCACCCGAGGACCTCTTTTCCCACCTCTTTGGCGGCGGTGGATTCTTTGGTGGAGGCGGTGGCAGGTCTCGTCCTTCCGGTCCTCGCAAGGGAAAAGACATGGCCCACGCACTTAAAGTCTCCCTAGAAGACCTGTACAAGGGCAAGGTGTCGAAATTGGCATTACAGAAGCAAGTTATCTGCCAAAAGTGTGATGGAAAGGGCGGAAAGGAAGGAGCGGTCAGGCAGTGTACAACATGTGCTGGACGGGGTGTCAAGATTATTATGAGGCAAATTGGACCTATGATTCAGCAAATGCAACAGACGTGTCCAGATTGTCAAGGAGAGGGTGAGGTGATCAACGCAAAAGACCGTTGTAAGGGATGTAATGGAAAGAAGGTGATTGCAGAGCGCAAGGTATGTTTTGTCGAGAAGAGGCCAACTTTCCAAACATCCATTCACATGCCCCTCTTTAGATCCTCGAAGTCTACATTGACAAGGGCATGCAAGACGGCCAAAAAATAACTTTTACCGGTGAAGGTGACCAAGCACCTGGCATCATTCCTGGCGACGTGATCATCGTCATTGAAGAGAAGGAGCACCCCCGCTTCAAACGCAAGGGAGATGACTTGTACTATGAGGCCAAGATTGATTTGTTGACGGCATTAGCGGGTGGACAGTTTGTGATTAACCATTTGGACGACCGGGCCCTTCTCGTGAATATCTTACCTGGTGAAGTCATTAAACCTGGGGACGTGAAGGCTGTTTCTGGAGAGGGTATGCCAGGGTACGTATCATGTGTTTATGACTTAAACCCTATTTTCTGTAAACTTATTCATACTGTTTAGGTACAAACGTCCCTTTGACAAGGGCAACCTGTACGTCAAATTCGACATCAACTTCCCACCCCCCAACTGGGCCGACCAGTCCAAGCTCGCTCTCCTGGAAAATGCCCTCCCGACCCGTCAACCCCTTCCCCCCGTCAAGGGCAAAGAGGTCGAAGAAGTTGTCTTGTCGACCGTGGATCCGATGCAGCAATCGAGGGCGCACATGAATGGTTCTGGAGAGGACGAGGAAGAGGAAGGACATGGACCTAGTGTACAGTGTGCTCAGCAATAAGAATGTATGATAATGCGTATGTGGATGGGTGGAGTGTATGGGTGTGCTTGGGGCGTTTATTTTTTTGATATATGTAGAGCTCTTTTTGCATATGATGCGAGTACATTTGCTCATGTGTTACTGTTGCATGATTTGTGGTACAAGGTTTTATCTGTGCAGTGATGGATCCTGCCGTCTGAGTTGGGTGACATCAAGATCTCTTATGAAAGTTGGTTAAATGGGTGGTATGGTTGTTGATGATCGTGCCCTTTGTTGCCTTACGTCGCGCCATCTATCCGCTCAATAATTCACCAACAGGAACCAAGCTGACACAGACGAGTGCACATGTCAGTGTACATCGACATTCGAGCGAGAGAATATAAACAAATGGATTGCCGTGTTGGGACGTGACGTTGGAGTGCGAATGTTGACTGGTTTGGAAATGGTGGGTGGTGTTGGGCATAAGTAAGACTTGTGTAAGAGTCTATCAAGGAATTGACTGGATTGTAGCGTTCAATGATCGAAATCTATCTATTGCAATGTACAAATGTTTCTTGCCAATATTGGGAGTTATTGACTCTCACATTTGATAAATGACTGTTTATTTATTGTCAAACACATCTGCAATCGTCACTACGGTTTAGACCGTCTTATCATCCTCTTTTTCCTGTGGATACTGGGTCCACGGGAGCATAAGCGGTCCCTGTATTCGCCACGCAAATAGGTAGCTTCTGCAAAACTGTCGTTGGGACACTGGACTGCTATTTTGCGGAACTGTCATGTCCGTCAGTGAAATGTAACGGAGACCGTAAGCCCCCGGGTACGTCGAGTTCCTTTACTAAAATGAAAAAGTCATACAATCCGCTAGAGTTGGTTCATCTCGTCTCATAGAAGCGGTAGAATGGTGGTTATCTAGCATGGGAAAGTCGTTAGATATTCATACGTTTCTTTATTTCATTGTTGGCCTCAGGTTTTCAAAAGATCTATGATGTGAATAAAGTTGGGGCAGAAGACCATCTAACTGACAAAGCTGCTGTAAACAATTAGAAATGAATGCAGTCTTTTTAGATGGGCAAGGTTGGTGTCAAGTTTTCGACTGTCGACTGGCGACGAAGAATTACGAGTTTTATTCTAAATCTTGAGGAGGAATTTGAGATATCCTTCGAGGGCTCCTAAACTCCCCGTTCAGATTACTGATGGGCGCCAGAAAGGACGTCTCACCGTAAATATCGTCGTCCTGTCCGGTTCGGCTAATAGAAAACCTTTTTGTTTGGAATGATAATACTTCAAACAAAATTCCTAGTGAGCTGCTGGACACGCCGAACCGTCCCGACAGTCTTGCCAAAATCAGCTCAACACCCAAAACCCCAAACCAAAAGCATCCAGTCATTCCACCTCCAAAATCTATGGAAATAATTTACAACACCCCACCAACCTCTTCAACGGAAAACACTTTACAACAAAACATTCCGGCTTTAATGCTTTTTCATACACCTCAATCAGTTCCACCACATCCCCAACAGGCCTGGATCCCGAGACGTCCACAAAAATCTTGGTGGGCCGGACACCCAGTTTAAGGATCGCGCGCACATCAAAGGCGTCGAGATTGTGGAAATGGAGATTAGGGAGGTGCGCGAAGCGGGTTTTGGAGATTTGGTGTTGAACAGGGGATTTATCTATTCCGTAAACCTTTTTGGTAACTTTAGTATGAGTGTTGGCAAGAGTCTTCAAGTATATTTGCCGTACACACCTCGACAGCTTTTTGGGCCAACAAGGATGCCGTGACGCCTTGGGCTGAGCCGAGTTCGAGGACGGTATCCGTGGGCGTGACATAGACGTCAATAGCCTTTCGGTATTCATCCACGTTCTCTGTTACGATAATGGGAACGCCTGTAAGGTCATGTTTGGTCATGCCGCGGCGAACCAAGATGGTTGCTAGATGCTCTTGTTGAGAACGACCGTAGCATTTGCTTGTGTTGGATGACTGTGCCACTGATCGGTGGTGAAGTTGAGTTTGGTAAGCGATGGTCGCCTTTCACTAGTTCAAGGTCTCTGGTTGGTGTCGACGCAGCCAGATACAGAAAAAAAGCCATCCGCACGATGGTTTACGATTATGCTCCAGTTCAACAGATAAAAATGATATGATATTCAAATCTACGCAGACAGACAGTATGTGAACTTCAGGTTAACAAAAAACTAAACTTTCAAAGTTCTAGACATCGAACAAAATGAAATACATGAAAAACATGAAAAGAAAACTCCTGAAACTAACGGTAAAGCACAGATATCACTCCAATAGCACATAGCAATTGTAACATGTCCCATCTTATTCTTCATCTTCATCATCGTATGGTTGACCGATTGGTGATGTTTGGTTTGTCCCTGCACCAACAGGTCCAAGGGTCTTGATTGTAGCAGCTCCACCAATTGTCGGTGCAAGATTCCTGCATACTCCTGCATCAAAGTCACAGCCAATTTTGCCTTTAAGTGCATTCTTAAATGTTTCGAGAGGGCAAACCTCACTGGGGCATCCAGGGACAACGACAGGGACTTCATCAGAGAGTACGCGGACATTGTAGCTGTTGTCGGCGCATTTGTTGAGCTCAAAGATGACATTCCCAGCAAAGGGAGAAAATGTTTTCCCATTGAATGCGCGGGAGAGGATCTGTTCGTCCGTAGCGTTCCCGGCGAGCCGATCACCCTTGAAGAGACCCAAGGTGGTAATGATGGGTGCAATCGTCTCGGCGTGCGCGAATTTAAAGATACCCTTGGCAGCATCAGCTGCATTGGAAACGATTTTATCCATGTTGTTGGAGACGGTTGTAACGAGGGAACAAGCCAACTGTTCGTTAATCGGAATTTCGTATCCTTTAACAAAATTGAACCCCAAGTCTTCAGCAAAATCGGCCATGATGAATTCATCGGGACGGAATAGGGAGCAGAACCCGTCTATTTTGCCCTGGATCGTGTTTTCGAATGCACAGAGTTTGAAGAGGTTGGTAATATCTTGTTCGTCCAAGCCTTTCAACTGATAGTCGTTCGCCAAGCGTAGAATAATAGCGGGGTATCGAGCTGACTTAAACTGGGTGTCAGGTTGTTGTAGATATTTTTGGGTATTCTTGGCGTCCACGTAGTTTTTGCAGGCTTCATGCGGACGGAGATCGGCATCAAGTTCTTTAGGGACAATAGCGTTTTTAAGGGCGGTTATTGCGGTGTCAACATTCGGCTCGTCCACCATTCCCCTGATAAAGGACTGACCACTCGCAATGGAGCGGGAAACATTCGTAGAGGCCCATTGCAAAGTTTTCGGGTCGGCAAGGATAGCTTGGTAGCGTTGTTTGATGCGCTTGGCAAGGTCAACGTGGTCTTGTACGCCTTGGGTGGTCAATAACCCCGCCACGGTGTCGCTCCATGGGAGTTGAAAGTTGCTCAGGAATGCCAGCTTGGGATCAACTGGAACGTAGGATTTGAGCTTATCAAGGGTAGAAGTGAATTTCTTCAAGTCCCCTATGGGTTTGGCGGCGTTAGAGCAGTCTCAATGATATCTCAATAAACGTAAAAACCCTTACCCTTAGTGGGATTCCTCGTCCCATGTCGCGCCACGAGTTGAACCTGAACCGTTGTGCAGGTTCCCTCCCCAGCCCTGCGGTACTTTGTTCGCGGCTTTGGCGCGTTCGAATAAGTAGAGACGACGCTCCCAACGTCCGGAATATTGTAGGGAGACTTTGTACTAATGGCATGGTCCAGCGATGGCTTTGCCAGAATCGGGAGCGTGTTATCAATGATTGGGTCAGGGATTGCACCAAAGGAGGTTGCCACCAGGCCCATGGTGAGTCCAACGATGGAGAGATGATTGAGTTGAGGCATTCTATGAGTTCTATGAGATCTATGGGGAGTCTATTGGGGGAGTCTATATATCTAAGTTCTTTGCCTTTCGCTTGACGGCTAGAAAGTGGGAGGAGAACATCCCGGTTATTTATATTCCTGCAAAACTTGTTCATTGCAATGAAAACTCATAAAGAATATTTGAGTAGACTCCCCGAGTAGGATTTTTTTTTTTAGTTTTTTGGTTAAGTGGACTAGAGCAGGACGACTCAAAGTTGAGCATCAAAGTTGGAAGCCTACCCTTCAACCACCGACAAGAAGGCTCCTATTCGTTTGGCCGTGTTCCTGAATTGGATGTCCGTACCCAAATAGACAATGTTTCAACGATACCCTCCTTGTCCAGATGGAATGCGCAAGTCGAAATTCAGATGAACGTAGCTCTTCATGAAACAAGCACGACTACCAGTTAAGCGAATGTTCTCCGGAGCGTTCCCATAAGTCATTTTTTTGTCGCCTACTCTTTTTTGCTGGTGGGTTTGGCATAAGAAAGGTCTGTTTCGGGTCGCTAGTCACCACGACGTGAGCGATTTCCACGCGAATGTTTCAAGGCCCGGTCTTGGTTTCGTTTTAGCTTGACGTATTGAGACCAAAACCCCAACTCAACAACGAGCTGCAGAGAGGGTTCCCCATGAAGCAAGTCTCGAACATCAAGTCTCCTTGGGAATAGAGTAGCTATTGGAAAAGAATTATTCCACAAGCACCAACATTCCACAGCAAAAAGTCAGGGTAGTTTGAAAAACGACTAGGTTTCTGGGAAATTAAAGTTATGTACCATGTAATTGGAGTGTAAAAATCAGATCTGCCCAGAGTCAAAGTTTTTTAAAGTTTGAAAAGTGTCCAGTGCTGACACACATGCACTGGTAGCCAATGATGCTCGATAAAGCTCTTGAATGCACGGCAATGTTTCCACTCAACTGCATCAAAGTTGGGGTCTCTAGCCGACATATACATTTACAATGCAAACCTCATTCGTCAGGGTGCTCCCAATGCCCCCAGGCAATGACTTGCACACAGCTAAAAGAAAAATAGTCTTCCAGACCTTATCCACTCAGAATGCCCACCATCAGTTACACCATGGTGCAGGTTGAGTAATGCTGGGCATGGTAGTAATATGCAATACGCTTCCCCGTCCCCTTGAGATCTTTTCAAAATTTTAATGGATGAATCGACGTTGTGCTGCTTGTCTGTAAGCTTGGATGAGAGGTCCCAGCTTCATCAACATTTCCACACCTCATTTTAAGGTTTCAAGCCAACTGTTATGGTTGACATGATATCCTGCGAAGGACATAGATGCTACAATACTCCAACTCGATCCTACCACCATTTTTTCGCACTCCAAGTCTAGGCCAGTTGCTTTTGACTAGCTGCATTTTGGGTCATGTAATGCTTGCAGAGTACGTAAGCATCTCACGTGGAATACGATATCCACCCCGCGCCGAACGTTCCATGCCAAGCGTGCTGTGTAAGACCCATCTTGGCACATTTCCACACACAACATTGCCTTTGTTGACTCTCTCCGATCTACCATCCGAGTACCGTTGTCGCCCACCTACAGCAGTCTATATCGTCTGGGTTTTGCCTTTGTGTTTTTGCTTTTCGGATTTATCTTTTATCACTGCAACTTGCGAGTGAAACATGTCTCTTGGGTCGGAAATCAAGAGTGGAAAGTTTACAATTTATGCCCAATGGTATGCTATCTTTGAACTGAAGGGCTTACGGAGGGATATTTTGGGTGGAGGATATGCCTGCATAAAGGAGTCTGTACGGAAATAGCGGAGCGCTTTGGTCGTCAATACACCAAAAATGTTGATTCTGGAGAAATGGATATAATCATTTTACTCACCTGTCGTCTTTTGTTCCTATTCAGGGCCGCTATTTTATCAGTTATCTGTAAGTATCTTTTGTACATTCGCACTGCGTTCACTGTTGCAACTAGCTCATTTTATTTGCCTCAGTCCTGATCGTATTTAGCATCACAAATTTCATCTCTGTGCTTCCCTTTGCAATCATCTCATGGTATGCAGGTTTCATTTATATTCTTGTAGCTGAAACTCAGTATCGGTTTGTCGATGGATAGGGTGGAAGCATTCTTCATGATTTGGCTCGAAATCCCTTTGTTGACGGTTTGTTTGCCAGGCGGTCCAAAGATGTAAGCATGTGTTTTGGTCAAGTGGCCCTTTGATTCTGTTGTTGACAATGCTTTGAAGTGAGTCTTTTAAACAATTCTTTGCCAACACTCTGTTCCGATCGGCTCTTTACGCGGTGTAAGTACTGGTCTCCCCTCTTAATGTTAAATCTTAATGAATTTTACAAACGCCCCTTGCCAATTACCAGGTTCGCGGTTCTCATCTGGCTATCGATCCTTATGCAAGCTACCTCGTTACTTACCGCAGCCATTACCCTAACACTGACATGTGTTTTCTATCGTAAGCTCTCGTGTCTCTCTTCATTACCCTCAGTCATCCCCTTACACCTCTCCTTTCACAGTGATCAGCGTGTTCAAAAAGGAAGAATTGGAGCGAAGTGGTGTGACAGGTGGTCAAGGTGTTGCTTCGGCAGCAGCCATGGGGCGAGTGTAGAGGCGCATGGACATGCTTTGAAAGACGGGATACATGAGAAGAACGTCACGGAATCCAGTGGAAAGTTACGATATCTGCACATGAAGAGTAGATAGTGAATAATGTGCTAGATGAAATCTTACACAAGAGTGCTGTGTGTCGTCACCGCAAGGGATGTCTGCCTGGAGAGCTTGTACATTTTGCAAACAACGCATAGGATATATCTGTATTATTAAATACCCATCTATCCATATCAATTGCTGATCAGTGTAGGTGCCCCGTTTTCGCTCAGCCAGCTTCATCCCATTCAATACCCGACAGCTGGCAACGGCACGACACCACTCCTCCCTGCTTCATCAATCCTCATCAAAACCGTGCTCAAGTTATTTGGCATGTGATCGGCAGCCATCGAGATGGAAATCTCAATCTCTTGAAACTCTTCAGGGGATGCCCACACGGGGCGATAGGTATCTCTTCTTCTCCGTGCTTGAGATCGTGGGCGTTTACGAAAGCATTTCGAAAAGAAGCTGCGACGCGTCGTGTACTCTGGTTCAGAGTCATTATCAAAATCGTCGGAAGCTGGACGGGAAAGGAGGGCTACGGAATCAGAGCTGGAGGGAAGAGTGGAATAGGAATCTACTGATCCAGGTATCCGTTCTTTGCAAAAGTAGAGGACGCGTCCAGGTAGATATGTTGTGGGATATTCATCGTTCCAACTTCTCTTTCTCCTCGACCGGTGTTCGCCAATTTCCACATCCCTCCACGCCCCATCCATTACATTCACCTGCGGCCCATCCAGACCACCATCCTGTCCAGCCCGTCGCTCATACCATGGCGCGCCGAAACATTCTCCCAGCAAAAACGATCCCAGTACGCGTACTTTGTGCTCATTGCATGTATCTATCAGATCATTCACTTGTTGTTTGAGCTTTTCTACCGTGTTGCGATTGAGACGGGGGACAATGTCAGAGCCGAGGACGACAGATGTACAAAACGTGGCAAAGTATGCATTAGCTTCGTGGGTAATCATACATCCAGGAGGTGAATATGCAATGGCACGAGCGGTGGGATAGGAAGTCGTCCGAAGAAGGAAAGCCAGTAGGGCAGCAACGCCCTAAATACGTCAGGGATATGAGCTTGTTGGATTCCCATATGGCAAGTTTTCCGCATCACAAAAGTTCACTTACCCCTCCCAGCGAGTGGCCACAGCATACTAAGCCATATCCTTTATACCGACTATTCTCCTCCAACAACAGCCTCCTCAGGGTGCCTGAAGCCTCCAGCTCGTCCTTCAAATTCCTGGCCGTTCGAAACATCCCAGCATGTGTGTAAGCCTTCACATCACCAGCAAGCCCAGGAACCGTTATTTCTTCCAAGTCGCAATGCAAATCCACCAATACATCCGCCGTGGACAAGGTACCTCTAACGGCAATGACAATCGTCTGACGCGGGTGATCAAAGCATATTGCAAACGGAGTGCGAAAGAGGCCTCCTTGTAGAGATAGGTATATGAGATCGGCATGTGGGAGTTGGTCCGAGAGAGTCGGAGATGAGGGCAGGCAGGGAATGCAGGATGTTGCAGTAACTGTGCGGATGGCGGCAATGGCGGTGTCTGGTGGTGCGCGGGACCATGGGCAACAAAGATGATATACTCCACGTGTAAAGTTGGTAAACATAAATAATGGTAGCCCGTAAATGGACTCTGCATATTGATAAAAGTAGGTAATGTCTTGGATATCTTCATATCGGGGAATGTCCAACGCTGTGGGCGCAGGAAGGGTAACAGATATTCTTGGGGACGTGTGTTCCGAGCTTGATCGATTTACCAGCGATTCTTGAACTGCCAGTGATACCCTTCTCGTCCCCATTGCGTGCTCTTCCGATCCGGAAACGCGGGCTCCCAGTTGCTCACTCGGCCATTTCTTCCCGCTCATCAAAGCTCTAGCAGCCTGCTGTTTCCGCCTCAAAAGGACAACGCCAACCAAAATATCACTAGGGACTGTTTCCACATCCTCCAAAAACTCTGCAAAAATCCTCGCAACATCCGATAGCACATCGGGTTCGTCCCCGCCGGACCCACCATCCACGGTGCCCGATCTGGAATGCGAAACAAAGAGAAAACTCAACCGCGTTCGCCAGAGAGCGGTGCGGTCGATGCTGTCAACATTTAGGGGTGTTGATCGGAGGTACAAAAGAAGAACCGCTATCAGGTAAACTGTCACCGCGGCGGTACTCAGGTATATCAAAGAATGGATAAGGAAACCAATATGGGAAGCTGGCGTGCATATGAGGGGATCTGAGCCAAGAATGAGGTGGAGACCGTAAACCTGTGTTGCCTGAGAGAAACGAGAGGCGTTGTGTATCAGTAGATATCCAAATGTGTTGAGCAACGGGGCGGGAGCTGCGGCTTACCCTAACCTACCAGCTCCAAAAGCATTAACCCAGAATGACAATATATGGGCTTACTGATTGCTCAAGAGACCACACATCAGAACGCAGGCATAGAGTTCTCAAAGAACAACCGAAAGAAAACGAGGCACTCACTTGATATGCCTCCTTGGCCTCGGGTCCGCAACGGTTCCCTGTAGCGACAAATACGCAATACACGTTTCTGCCACTAATTCCATAACAAGAGTCACGACGCTCATGACAAGGTACGTTTCAAGACCATTTGGATTTGTGCATGTTCCTGGTGGGTTGTTACGGGTTTGGTGGTATACCACGGCTGCACCTAGGAGCCTGCCTTCGAAATGAGAACCGCGATCACTATATAAGGAAGACGCAAGTCACAGACCATATCGAGTGCACAACAAAACCATACAAGGCCGGGAAGAAGAGATCATCACTACCGACGTGCCATCGTCGGTTGAAGAGAATCAAGCTTGGCATTTCAACATTTGTCAGGACGAAAAGTAAAGACTAGGCAAGAGTGTCAAAAAGTCCGCCTGCTCATGGTCATGCGTGAGGCACAGTCATTTCAGAATATAATGACTGTGCCGTACACGTGTCGTTGCTGCTGACGTGATCTGCTTGCGGCTGCATCAACGACGACGTCTGCGATGGAGGGGCAACTTCAAACAAAATGGAAATGGGATGGAGAGTGCACAAGTGTTGATTCCACATGCATATGCAGTACTAGCTAGATCTTCACTTTCAGTACGATTTGGTGACACTACGTATCGAACGGTTCATACGCCTGGCAAAACGTGAGTGTTTTAAAGCTCCCATGCGATCCACTATCGCACATGGCATCCGATATGACATGCTGATCACTTGCCGTACGTCGCATACTCTTTGGCTGTGCTATTGCTGTGCATAGTTTTGGCTGTCTACTCGCCAGCGTTTCCAAAATGCTCAAATAGATCCCATTACGCTGCTGACAAGCCCCCCTGTGACCGCGCCACCTGCGTGATATGCCACGTCAACTCCTTTGTCGCTTTCCCACCGTTTTTCACCTGCTCTTTTCTATGCTCCACCTTTGCCAATACGTTTGAATTGCCGCTTGCGGACGAGGACGGAGAGAGCAGCAGAAGCAAGGATTGTCATAGTGTTAACATTGTATTGTTTTTAAGGTAAGCAATTATGCATAGCGGGCAAGCACAGAGCCGACAGAACTGACAACACAGTTGCGTTCTTTTTGGTTTCCGAGATGGCAGACGAAATGGAGTTTCACGATTTAGTCCAGGTGAGTTGGATTTACATGTATGGGACAAAACCTGCCAAATTGTCGTATGGAAACATGGCAGAGCTGGAACTTTAGAGAGCACATCAGAGTACAGTAGAGCTACCATCCCGGCTATCGCCTATTGATTGTCATACTGCCCCCTCTTGACAACCTGCCTCCCATATGGTTTGGGTTGCTGACGCTCTTGTCGGTGCTCAAGGTTGACTGGGCTGGTGAAGACGGCGAGCTTATTGTGAAGTCACCGCCTTCTCCTCCTTTGTCCTTTCATAACGTGGGAGATATGGACAAGGAAGAGATGCGCGAAAAGGAGATTACTGAACAAGAGGAAGAAAACGTGGAAAACAGTTCCGAGGTGTCGACTGACGGCTTCGATGATTTGGGTGTTTCTGAGGAGCCTGTTTGTAGTGCGAAGGAAGAAAAGAAGATCGAAGACGAGCCTGTCATCCTTGTACAGAATCCGGTGACGGATTTACCTGCACCAGCTACTCCTGCTATGCCAGTTACCATTCTGTTTACGGGCCATCCTCTTCCACCGAGTCATCCAATTATAGCAAGCTTTTGCCACGTGGCTTCACGGACACGCATGTATACACTCACCACTCTACCGTCAGGCGTAAAACCTACCATTACCTTGCATGTCATTGCGGACTTGAATGCTCTGTTTATTTCTGCCATGAATGGCACTCTTGTCGAGACGGCAGCTCGGTCTCCGATTTTCCTTCCTATTGTTTGTCATTCGGCCAACACCGACAAGTCAACCCAAGGAACTATTACTTTGGCGGTACGCAGAGGATTGGCAATCTGTGGCATTGAGTATGTGAAAAATGGCACAGGCGGAGTGTTCACTGAGCGAGAGATTTGTGGGATGAGTAGGAAGCAGATCATGTCGATTGTGACCAATGGAAAGATCGAGGAGGATGAAAGTCCAGGCTACAAGTTCCGCGAGTCATTGGACATGGCTTTCAAGCTTGGCGGGCCATGGATTTTAGGCCTCTTGATGAGCTGGCTGTTTGTATTTGCGGTGTTCACTGTGTGCAGCTTCCATCGGGGAAGTGCATTGGGAGGTGTTCGCAATCCAGGGACGATGATGCCTACCAACGCTCAGCAAGTAGTCGGTATGGTTGACAGGGTAGTGAGCGCGATTGTGGAGGATTCTGAGAGTACCATTAAAATGGAATGGAGTCCATCTTTGGCTGAAGTTGAAAACGGTGAGCACATCAAACGCGTCGACTTTAAAAGCAATTCTTTGACATCAGCCATGCAGATCATCCTTCGCCAGTACCATCTACAATGGAGAGTGAAACTTTAACCCCATCTATCCCAACTGTGGCTAAACAAGCTGAGCAAGTGGATAAGACAGAATGCAGTGAAGAGGCTACAGAACAAACGGGCAAAGCGCCGGAGGATCAAGTCATCGACCAAAATTTGGAAAAGCATGAAGCTGACGCGGACAATGGACCCAAGAATTTCCCGCAACAAACTCCTTTTAAACCTCTGATCAGTTCAGTTGCACTCACTCTTCCAGCCGCGGTTGTTCTTCCAACTGCACATGCCCCCCCTCCACAGCATATATTACCATCGAAAACGGGGAACACCACGCACACCACACCACTCATCACCCTGCCCGCATCGCTGCCGACACTCTTTAACGCCTTGCAGGCAATTTTCAAGGTAGTCATGGTACGGTGGAAAAGAGGTGTAGCGCGTTTGAAGGAACAGATGCAGGTTGAGGGAAAGATGGTGGTAGAGTGGTTAGACAAATGGTGGAATGGCCATATTTGATGAGGGAGTATGGCGTCTCTTGTGGTGGTGAGAAGTCTTGCGTACGATCGCAGCAGGCCTTGTACAATAATTGCAAACTGGTGAGTACGAGAGATTTTGTGTAAAGAGGCGGTGGTTAAAGTTGCGGCGTAATCTCTTGCTCTTTTGTCTTTTGTGAGTTGTGGCTTTTGTATATATGAAAAACAAAACATATTGTCGCTTTTACGATAGCATTTGGATACGAAACGGATCGTCAAGTGGAGATGCTTGTATTTACTCAAGTCCATCAAGAGCGAGCAATGGAACGGAAAGCTCACCCCAAATGTCCTCCTGGCGCACGACAATTAAATTTGGGACACAAGCGCAAGAAACCCCGTGCTCCTCAAAGTGGTCCTCCGATGGGCATCATGTGAACAGTTGCGGAGCCCAGTCTGTCAGCCGGATGCACACACACACACACTTTTGTTGTTGAGGCTGTCCAGCGGCAACAATGGAAGTGCCGTTAGAGATGAAATCTGGTTGTCTTTTGGCCTGGCAAGAAATCTCGTCCGCGTTCATTCCTTTATTTTAGGGCGCTTACCCCCATTGCCATGATGGCAGTTTGATTGACAATTGTGTGTACAATTCCATTCGTTGTTGGGTGCAGATAAAAAAAAGGCCTATTCTTTTTATATAAAGTCCTTTTTGACGGCCTCATTTAAAGGGCACGTTGACATGTCTCCCCCCCAAAACGGCAAAGTTGGAAATTGTGGTGTAGAGTCGCATCTTAATTATCCGCCCTTTTTAACAAAGCCTCATGCATTTCCACTAGTTCATTGTTTTTTTTGGACATTACAAACGTTTGACCAAGTGATTTACTGAAGCAAGTCTCTTCTATTGGGTTGGCACATGAACGTTGAAGTATTAGGATCGTCTCAACGTGGTGAAGGCGTCCACGCACTTGGAGGAGCTCCGCCATCTGAGCCAACAACGACAACACAGTCTGCTCCCATTGCTTTGACATTAGACAGCCCAGTTGAAAGACAAATACCCATACAGGATTCTGCGCCGAACCAACCAGAGACCGCACCTACGGCAGCTATTGAGGATGAGCCGCCCGCGGTAGCCGTGCCCATTGTGCCACTATCTGCAACACCGCCGCCCTATGGACAAACCGAAGAGCAGAATCGTAAGCTCTTTGTGACATATCGGAGTCGGTTACGGCGGACGTACATGTTTCCTGTGCTGACTTGGGTGCCATCGTTTGGACTTATCTTGGTGGGTACACCTGAAAACTGTACCTTGAGCCTGGTACTTATGTATCCTCCTAGTACTACGCCATCGTTGCCAACAGTCAAAACCTCTACACCTGGCTCGCAGTCGGACTATGGGTCGTCCTACTGTTTTGCACGTACATTGCCTATCGTTCAAAGTTTCATCGGCTCAAAGAAGTTTCTCAGCTCGGGCTACTTGCCTCGCTTCCAGAAGAGGAACTCAATGACATTGTCATGAATGGCGCAAACGTCCGACCTCCACCCCAGTATGATGATATGTTGATGAGATATGATGAACCATTGCCCGCCTATCCGAATTCCTCAACACGAGCGGGGAGTGTGAGGAGTCTACGGAGCGTCAGAAGCACTAGAAGTATGCTGACGATCAGGAGTATGACGAGATGGTGGGCTGCTCCACGTACGGGGCGGCAGATTGTGGAGATGGACGAGATTAGGGTCGATGACATTGTGTCAGAGCGCGAGCGACAAGGCAACCTACCGGGATCGGTGCAGGAAGATAACTCGCCAGCAGCAGCGGGATCCTCGATCTCTCCACAATCGCATGATGTCATAAATGACAGTGTGAATCCTACCGTCTGTAGCGTACAGCCCAATGAACACGGATCGTCCAGTCAGATGAATGATAGAACAGTATGCATCGTTCCCTCAAATAGCCCGTCGCCCGCAGTGCCTTCGTCAATAGGCCGCATAGGACCGCCGCCGTCGCCTGGCACAGCTTTCGAGCGAACACGTCCTGACCGGGCTGCATGTGCTGCGTTGGTATGACATCCGATCAAATCTGCTCTATGGTTGTTGGTAATACCTATTTTGTGGCAGCAATTTGTTGTTCCGTACAGCGCAATTTATATATTTGTTGATAGTATAGTTTTTTTCTGCCACATTCTAATTTCTATGTGTTTGTATTATTGCTTTGCGCTAGTATGTGAACCTTTGATGAAAAATAAATGTACAGTGTGTTCTTTTTTTTTGCGAGTTCTGTCCAGCCTTATGTCTAGACATGTGGGTTTAATGACATTTGGTAGGGCTTTCATACATCAACAATACCACTCCAGGAAACATGCCTGTGCGTTTTGATCTGCTCAACACAGCACTAGATTGCCAAGCACTAATGTCAAAGCACCTCCGCATGCAAATACCGTCGCAAAGAACCGCATCCCGTCGCTGGTGTTTTCGCCTTTCGCCTCGATCCAGCGCTCAACAAGGGTTTCTAAAACGTGACCTGGCTGATGTAAGCAGTGAAATATTTTGAAGGTTTTGGACATCCTTTGCGCAGGTGCTATCGTTTGCGACATTGCGCACGACAGAGGCCACTGCAAATGCACCACTGGACAGGATGGTAAGTGCAAAGGAACAAGCGGAAGGAGGCAACATTAAAAGTTCCAAGGATGCTAAATTCCAAATTTTTTCTTGTACAAATAAGCCAAAACTACGACCCTTCAAGGATATTGCTGTAGAGATCAGGTCGAGATGGCCCTACTACGTGTCAGACTGGGTCGACGGTTTCACAGATAAAAAGGTCCTCGCCGCTGGTGTATTTATTTGTGAGTAAGAGAGGGCCGTAGGTATGAGGCGGATGTAACTTTCAAGGTGGGCATGGACTGATAAGCTCACATGGTTTGCTTCTTCTTTTCCGGCCAGTTTTCGCAAACGTTGCGCCCGCCATCACGTTTGCATTCTACCTCGACGATGAAACGAAATCTGCCGTTGGCGTGTCCGAAGTCCTTCTGTCAAGTGCCATTTCCGGTGCTATCTATGCCATACTTAGCGGTCAGCCGCTGGTCATTATTGGCGTGACAGGCCCAACGTCGATCTTCACTGTTACAATAAACGCAGTGGCCAGATCGATAGGTGTAAGCTTCCTACCCTTCTATTCGTGGACAATCCTGTGGTCGGCATTTATGCACTTGATTCTGGCGGTTGTGGGTGCCTGTACACTGGTCCGAATTGTGACAAGGTTTTCTTGCGAGATATTTGGGGCTTTGATTGCTGTGGTGTATTTGTTAAACGGTGGTAGGGAAATCGTAAGGGAATTTTCAGAAGGCACATTCGAGGTACGCTTGGTATAAGTTTCTTTTTATGAGCATTGTAAAGTAGTTTTAATGATCTTTCTGCATTTCGGTTTAGACGGGTCTTTTATCCCTCCTATTTGCGCTGATAACCCTTTGGCTTTCCATGCAACTTGGCGCGGCCCGGCACTGGCACTTTCTTCGAAGCTGGATGCGCGCCCTCATTGCGGACTATGCCATCCCCATCAGTGTCACCCTTGCAACTGTCGTATCGGTCGTTATTCCACGTGTTAATCACGCTGGTCTTTCCCGGTTGAATGTTCCCTCCGATAAGCCTTTCTTGACAACCACAAATGGTCGTTCTTGGATTGTGGAGCTTGACGATATTCCCGTATGGGGAGTCTTTGCGGCGCTCATCCCTGGATTCATATTGACGATTCTGTTCTATTTTGACCACAACGTTTCCTCCCTGTTGAGTCAGGTACATTTGATGTTTCCGTTCGCATAGGTGTAGTGACCGTAAAATGCTAACATGGCACTCTTTAGCGCCCAGAGAACAATCTCTTGAAACCGTCCACCTACAATTGGGACTTTTTTGTCATCGGTCTCACCATGATTCCGTGTGCTATTTTGGGCATCCCTCCCTGCAATGGTCTGATCCCTCAAGCACCTCTGCACGTGCGAGCTCTCGCTAAAATTCGTCAAAAGCCTTCTGTTCACCATCCAAATCGCCTTGTCGAGGTGTGGGAGCGCGTCCAAGAACAACGTGTGTCAAATCTTATGCAGGCGCTCTTGACATTTGTAGCGCTGATTCCACCAGTCTTGGGCATTGTTGGGTTCATTCCCCGTGCAGTCCTTGCCAGCCTTTTCTTGGCTATGGGGTTTGCTTCATTTGTTGGCAATCAATTTGCCCAACGCATTGCATTGTTTTTCGCTGATCCTGCGCACGCGCGATTGGTGTTTTCTCACCTTCATGCGGTTCCGTTTTCGGCTTGTGCCAAATTGACTGCCGTGCAATTGGTCTTTTTGGCTGGAACTCTTGGTGTGACGGAATCAGGAAACGCCGCAGCCCTAAGTTTCCCGTTGTTTATTGCGGCGCTGGTACCTATTAGATATTACGTTCTGGGTAAATTCATCCCGGAGCGGTATTTGGAGATTCTTGATGCAGACGATGGACGAGAATTCATTACGGACGCGGAAGGAGCAGGGCGAAGGCGAGGTCGAAGTGGGAGCCATTCTGTGGAAAGGGAGCTGGGTCCTGGTACGGGAATGGAAGGCATCGGTATGGGTGGTGGTTTTCATCCAAGACCATCCAGTGAGGATGAAGATGAGATGGTGGAGGAGATTGAGGTAAAGGTGGAGGAGGAACTGGATCCCAATCAATCATCAGAGGGATTTGTCCCAAAGAATGTTGTCCATAGAGGACGTAAATAGGTTTTTTATTTATATTATGACATTGAGCATGCGATACTCGACATTAAATATATAGGACTCTTTGTATGTACGCAGATGTATTCCATGCAGCTGTTTCTGAGATGGCGAGTGTTGACAAGCAGTGGATGGTCCATATGAAAAGGGGACAGGTGGAAAAGGTTGGCAGATCCAAATCCTACATTTGCCTGAAAGAAGATGAGCAATTGCCGCACATGCCCGAGTTTGAAAGTCACAGTTGCTGCTTTCATATCCATTAAAAAACTCAAGTGTCTAATTCAAAAGCGTCTATTTCAATATCCATCTCGGTCAAAATTGCAATAATACAATATGATAACGCATCCATCAAAAATACAAGTAGATCCCGTTAATCCACTTCCCACACTGGTCTTGTTCCCGGTGTCGCTCCAGAGTTTGGACTCAATGGCCTTTCAGAACCTCTAACCGCCTGAATGATCGCCCCAAAAATGGAATCCTCAATCTCCCTCGCAGCCATCCGGGCGGACATTTCCCGTCCAGCCGCAATCAATGTATTCCCTGCACCCTCGTCCTCGTCCTGCAACTCTTCGTCGCTTCCTGTGCTATTAGTGTTCAGCCATCGAGAACTTGAAAGGAACCGAGGAACGATTGAGTGTGGCGATGAAGGTATCACCGCTTGTGTGGATGTAGCCACAGACGTCCCAGTCGGACGATTACTGTTTAACGTTCCGAATTCTAAGCGCAAGGTCCCACTCCGCCTTTCACTACTTTGCATCGTCCCTGAGCTCGTCGTAACAGGGCCGCCTCGTAGACTAGCAGGTAATGCCGCCCCCGCAAATCCACATAAAATCTCCTCCTCACTCCAGACCCCACCTTCCCCCTCGGTACCATCCCGTCTCCCCCGTCTAGGCAATTCAAACCACTCTTTCTCGACCGGACTGAGGCTAGTCCAGACCACCTGTGTCAGGGCTTCTTTGGCAGGTATGCTCATCCGGGCAAGCATGAGGTCAAAAAAGAGTTTGGTTTCCCGAGGTGTAAAGCAGGAAAAGAGGCGGAGGGCTGCGTCGACTTGAGGAGATGTCGTTGCCCGGTGGTAATAGTGGGAATACGGATTTGTGTGTCGAGGACTTTGTGTGGTGTTTGTTGGGGTACGAGGTTCTTGTAGATCGTAGGCGAGTTGACCCATGGCTACAATGACGCTGGATAAGTTGGAGAAAGGAAAAGATGACCGTTTTTAGGTACGAAAGGGAAGGCTCGAAAGAATATATCGTAAACCTAACTCAATGATCTCAGAGTTATCACATATTTTATACTGAAGGCTGTGCTGCTATTTATATCTTGATCAAGTATTCACGCATAAAGAGTCCTATACATAGCCCCTTCGACCCTCAGCGAGCTCCCAAAGGAAGGGGATATTCCGCTATTCCATCCATTGCGCCGCGACATTCTGGGGTAGGTTATGCAAGGTTATGCAAATCCAACAAAATAGATCATCCATCTAATCTAATGCAGATCTTCAAACTTGACATGGTCTACCCCACCGCTATGAGCTATTCAAAAAAACAAATTACCCCTAGCTATCCTATGTACTTCTCCAGATGCTCTGAAACCGCCGCTGCCATGTCTTCCACTCTCCAATAGCAGCCTGCCGATATTGCTTATTTAGAGTCATGAAAAGAATAGGATTGCAAAGTGTGTAAGAAATCGCCGTAACATAGGATAAGTAATCTGCCCAGACGGGAACCGGCCGCCATGTAACAAGATTGTAAAGAATGACCAAGAAAATGGGGGTCATGAGTACGTAGTAGGTTGATATGATGATAAATGCCTGTTTAGCGAGTGCATAGGCGATTACGTTGCTTTGGTGGGCAAGGCGGTCTTTGTGGGATCGACTTTGGCGTTCGCCGGGTTTCTGGAACAACCTCGTCTTGACCGTTCCTGCCAATGACAAGTGAGAGCTTGATAGCTTCACATTGGAAAGCCTACTAGGAAATGACATGAGACTTTGTTGTGATGTAACGGAGGGTAGTTGGTTTGCATTTGAAGATTTGATCAAATTGGGGTCGGACCCATTGCCCGCTGGCCGAGGGATCGGAGGAAGTGCAGAGATACTTCGAGTATGATGGTCCGTCGGCGGATGTTCCGGGACCTCTGGTGATGATGGCTGCTTATGTCCTTCTTCATCCGCGTTCGGAAGAGGTGGGACCATCATAGATGGCGTATCTCCCTTTTCAAGAAACGATACGGCAGCCATGTTGGTCTGGGCAAAAGTAGATCCACCAGCGAGGGCCGTAGGAATCAAACCGTGAACTTCTTTTGACGAGTTGACGAATGTGCTGTAAATGCGCCAATACATCCACAGAGTTCCCACAAGTACTATTCCGACAAAAAATACGCCTTGACTGGCCCACACGGCGCCATGCCATGTCCCAGTGGACCCTGGAAGCATTTGTGGTTAGGAGAGACCAAAATCCTGGTTGATGCCTCCTGTAGCAAATATACTTACATGGCGGATTGCACCAAGTAGCTCCCGGATTAACCCCAGCGGCCCGCCCAAACACAAAGGGAAGCTAAAAGCAATAGAGATTTTAAGTAACTTATCATTTGCTGTCTTCTGGCAAGCAATTTGGTTCTTACCGTGGCGCAAGACAAGGACAGCACCAAAATAAGTGCAATCACAATCTTTATGTGTCGCATCGTTACCGTCTTCCTCCACACGATAGTCGCATACCGCTCCAGGGTGAATGCAAACATCACGGACTGAGCACAACAACCCCAGACTCCGTTAGTGAACCCCTGAATCTGGCACGTATAGTAACCGCCAATATGATATCCCCAGACCAACGCCGTGAAGTGCCGAAACCAGGTATCTCCATCCGCGATGAGATCAGTCAGGCAGATACTTAGGACAATGGCCTTGGCTGGTGCCATGGGCACTTTTCGCATGACCCAGAGGAAAACCAAATTGATGGTACATGATGTGAGCGTTAGGCTGAATCCCACAGTGTTCCACACTTGCTGCGTCTGGGTAAGGCGATATGGTAGATAAAAGGCGCCGTGGGACATCCCCATGGGGATATCGTCAAGTGTATATAATCCATCTGCATCGGGAGGCGGGATTCCTGGGTATTGACTTTGAGCCATTGGCAAAAAAACGCAGGGAAGAGTTGAGAGATGGTCTCTTCAGCCGCTTACAAAAGGGCGAGTGGATATTGGACAATCATCCGATATCAAAACAAAACATCGGATGGGTAAGAAAAAGAAAATAAACACTCACTTTTTCAGGATACGGGTGCACTATTTATATCTTTCCGCCACGATCCCTCTCAAAACGTGATTAACCTTGGTAATGCGTTTAACTGTGCTTCATTTGCCAATAATAGATTTACTCTACCCGCATTTCCCTATTTTACGCTTACGCGGCGATATGGAACAAAGCGCCTCGGGCAATAGGAGACGGATGTACCAAGTTTCTAGAGGAGCAGAAGCCCTTACTCTAAGCCCTGCTGCCCGGAGAATGTCTTCCTTGGGCCTAGAAAATATGTTCCTTACCAGGCTGGTATCTAAAAGCAAGTTTCGACAAGAGTCAGCCTTTTCAGACTACATGGAATGTAAATGAGAAATCCAGTGTTGGAAAATAGCCAGATTCAGATTTCAGTCGATAACATCAAAATGTGCTACACCACAAATCAAATGCAGCCAAGTCAACGAGCACCAGGAATTTTGTGCAGATACATTAAGCTTATAATTTAGCACCACTGTTCACCCTCCATTTCATCAGAAGCTGCAGGTTGTTGATCTGCCTCTTCCTCATCCATGCAGTCGTCCTTGTCACCCTCCAAGTTTGGCGGCGCTGAGACATCTCCCTCGAGTCCATCGTCAGGATTGTCCAGATGATCGAGCGGTACTGAATCAACCGCATCCTCCCGCATCTTCTTGTCTTCGTCGTCGGACTCCTCGCCTTGTGTTCTCAACCGCGGCCCCAAACTAATTGACTCAGACAGAGCAACGGATAAGTCGGCATTTTGCCCATGGCCACTCAACTGCTCTCTGTCAACATGGAGCCGATTTCCTTGTGAGTTCTCAATGGAGTGCGCTGATTTATTGGTAGCTGCTGTTCCATCAGACTCAACAGATCTTGAGGTATGCATTGCCTCCTCATGAACCAATTGGTCCTGACAGTCAGCAATGCCAAGACCATGAATTTCACGGTTCCCATCCGGATTGGTTAACTGTACCGTAATTTCTTCCTGACGATCAACTACTGCTTCTTGGGATACTAATTGACGAGACCCTTCAGCAAAACTGAAGCCGCAATTGTATGTTTTCGTGAGTAGCATCGACGGCTCATGGAATGTAAAAACCCTGGGCTCCATTTCCTTGCTCATGTTGACGCCTGCGTCGACGTCTTCCGCCTCGGGGGAATCTTGTTCTTCATGTCCAATCCCCTCTTCGTCGACAGCAACGTTTGGAAGTTCAGTCGGACTTGATGTGAGTTCTGCGACCTCCGGGGTACCCAGTCCTTCATATTCAACCATCTGTTCCTCAGCAACAACAGTGTTTGGAATGTCATCTCCTATGATGGGTGACGCGACACTGCCAGCGCAAGTTGTCTGACTGTCAGCATAGTCACTAACTCGATTAGATGACGCATCGATATCTGAATGGCATTCGGTATCCTCTCCATGTTTGAAGGAAATTCGTTCCCGTGTTCCCATGTTTTCCTCAGCACCTGACTCTTCGTCTTCCATTTCGACCTTTAAACTAGCGCCCTCTATGGTGACGTGAATGATTCCACATTCTTTCTGATTCGACCGGGTATCATCATGAGATATTTTGATCGGTGCGGATGAATCGCTAACTGTGCCGTCTGCGATGTCCATCACGTCGTTGTGATCTCCTTCCGGTGAGCCTTCCGGGGCCTTCTCAGAGTCCGATTGGTAGGGCTCCGTTACGCACTTGATGTCCTCCTGACGTCGCGTAAGACCATCGTCTCCTGCCAGTTCAGTATCGCATATAGATGGCCCAGTGCTATTATTCTCAGGATTAGTAGAGGTTGTAGTCAAATCCGTACGTGGCAGCGCTTCAATCTCTACGTTGCAGGCCCTCGCTGGGAGAATGGTGTCTCTTTCGCAAGGCCCATCAGCATCCATCATCACTGCGGAATGGGCTTGAGATTGGGAGGAATTCTCAACCACCCCTGCACGGTGAGCACCATCTAGTGGGATATCATGCATTGCTTCAAATCCCGGCTGGGGCATGACGCTAGATGGTTCAGCACCCGAAGCCACCCGCTTCGCAGGATTCTCTTCCATAATACACCCTAATGATGGAACTACCACATTAGTTGACGGGCAGCTTTCGCTTCGCTGCTGACAAGTTGTATCCGTCTCGTGCTCAATCTGTGAGACATAATCCACATCGGTGACATTGGAGTCAAGCTCTGCTTCATACGGAACAGAGGACACATCGTGCATTGCCCCCTCGCTGATTACAGGTAGCGTTTCACATTTGTCTTCCAAAGGCACATCCACGTCCATTGCCTCGTCACTATCGGCAACCGGTTCCATGCGATCGCGCATGCCAGTATCGTCTTGCCCTTCCTTGTGGACCTCTTGTTTTGCCGCCGCGATCCCCTTGACTTCCAGCTGGAAATCGTCAGATACCATCTTGCCGTCACAGTGATCTTGCGCATACTGATTTGAGTTATCGACTGTGTCATTTCTGATAGGCATTGCCAACCCATCAGTCGTTGGACTCGAAACCAATTCCTGACCATCCTCTCCTTCATTTCTTAGCGCTGCACGTTCCGAAGGTTGCGAAGCTGCCGAGTTGGAAGTTGGATCTGGTCGCGAAGGGGTTGCTTCGGCATCGACAGTACAATGGTCATGCATCCCAGTCTTGCGTCTTTTCCTTGGTGATGGTGACTCATACGAGCTAACCTCCACAGATGGTTTGCTAATAGTGTCTGCAATGTCTCCTTCAATCGCTGGGCTGCTACCGGAAACCCCGTCCGTCTCAAATTCAGGTTGCAAAGTGGGTGCGCTGTCCTGCATTTCAGCTCGGATGTCTCTCGCTCGCTGCAACAGTTCTTGAATCGTAGGCGAAAAGTTCATATGACCAGTAGTCCCGGGATTTTCGTTATCGCTTTCTCTCCGACGCTTTTTGCCATCATGGTATCGCGTTTGTAAAATTGTTCTGACTGAATCGAGCATATCTGATTCAGAAAATGCAAGCTTGGCGGTATCACAGAAATCAATCCGGAGCTGATCTCGACTTTCCGAGGCAAAAGCATGACCAGTTTGGCGAGCGGTGGAAATCTCCGGTAACATGATGACAGAGGAAAGCAGCGGCATTTCAGGTGAAAACAGAAGCGTTCCCGGTGTTATCACATGCTCTTCAGCTCGTAGTTGCCGTGGTATGACTTGCGCTTCTTGTGGTGCCTCTTGTGGTGTGGTTTCTGCTTCTTCCAACTTTGCTGCAAATTGTTTACGTTCTTCCTGTGTTTCCCCCAGGTCAAAGAACATAACCGATGCATCTTTCTCAGCTCCAAGCAAGGACGCAAGACTGGTTACTGCCTCGGAGGCCAGTTTTAAAGGGACATGATGACCACTGGTTGAGCGAGTTTTTTGATGCTGTATAGCTCCATGCAGCAGCTCTGCAGCTCGATCTCTGACGTTCCCTGTCGCCAGCCCTGAAGGTCGCCCATCCATCGGGCCATTCAAGAGGTTTTCAACGCCGCCAAGAATGGAGCACGTCTTCTCAATGGATACCAAAGTGCTCCCAATCACTGAAGGTGTCATCAAAGAAGTGCTGAACCGCCAGAAACACGCGTTAGTCACGTCAACAGCGCCGGTGCACTGTGCGCTCTAATAGTCACACTTACACTCCATCAGAGACTAGTCCCACAATCACGGAGCCATCTGACGTCTTTTCACAGATCTCCCGGATACAAAATTTATAGACAGACGTACGCTTTAACAATTGGTCTATCATATTAGGGTGGATGTATTAGGATTCAAGCAGACAGCTAAGGTAAGAAAAATGATCAGATTCGGGAGCTATGACTTACGTTTGTGCCCGAAACTTCCGACGCAGTTTGTTTTGAAGATAGCTGACAATGATCAGTGCCTCATTATTTAAATCCAGCAATAATAAATATATACCTACCATATGCACTATGCGGACTGCATACAATATATCGTGCAATGCCGTTAGGGCCACATGCCCGCCGAATGCAATGTTGCATTCTCTCATGATCGCGTTCTATCAATCCCTCTCTTTCTGTGCTAAGATTCAGGGTATCGGGACATGACGTAGGGGCACTAGTATCACCCTCATTACTCCATACTTTTAAAGGCTCTCCATTGCTTTTGTTAAAAAGCATCATGGAACAGTCACCTGGTGACGATCAGATATTCAGCGCTGGTGTTTCAGATCTGTGAAGCTTGTTCACTCACCGATATTGCAGAGCCATATATCACCGTCAATGAGAATAGCAAGGGCCAAGCTGGCACCACAATTCTCCGCCAAAACAGCATCCCTGACTTGTAGCTCATTATCTAGCTCTTGGTGCAGTGTGTCCAACCGCCTTGTAAGTTCAAGAGCATAGGTGTCGGACCCACATTCCGAAATTAGACTCCTGATTATCCGCCCCAGTACAGTCACCAGTACATTGCCAAGAAGAGCCAAGAATTGTTGTCCTGGGCTCCCGCGCCAAGTTTCGAGCGCTTTTTTGGACAGAGGAGGAACAAAGCCAGGTCCATGTGCGTCCATCAACGCAACGCATGTAGCAGAAGTACTCTGTCTTGTATCATTCTCCTTCACGGGCAGTTCGATAGTAAAGGTTTTGTATCCATCCTCGTTGAGAGATAGAGTTCTATGGCCGCGAGGAAGTTGAATTACTTGGGACGGACCAGGGATTGAAGCGAAAAATGTGCGTGGACGAGAGCATGGCGCGGCGTGAGGTGCCTGAAGCTGCTTCATAGACAGGCATGAACTGACTAAGGACTCCTCATTTTGGACCGCCGGTTGCTCATCGGTCGTCATGCTGTGCCAGTGTGCTTGCGATCGCCAGCGTTTGTAGAATGGGAAGGTCGGGCAAGTTGACAAGCTCAAGAGTTGATAAACCCATTTTAGGATAAATGAAATAGATGTCACGGGGTTGTTCGGACTTCATCAAACCGGACATGAAGCTTGGATCTGAGCTTTGGATGGGTAATGTGCCCCAACCACCTGCTAGCCATCACACTAGTCCTTGTGCCAAACTCTTGATGATCCTTGTAGTTAAACCTGTACTTTTGTTGTCAGGAACAAATTCCAACTCAAAAACCTTTTTCGAATATCAACAAGGCAAAAATAAATGCAATTGGCAGCACGCAGCAGTTTTAGCGGTATTCTCTTGCCGTATTGTTGTTTCAATTTGGCGAGATTTGCAATCCAAGGAGTTCGTTGTAGGCACCACATATATGTAAGCGTCCTTTCGTTGATATCATGGAAGAAAGATAGACTGAGATGGGGCAGCGAGGGCGTGTGCTTTTTGTAGACTGAGGTACTAATATGAACTTCTTATTCCTGCCGTCATGGTGAAATAAGCGAACCATGATGCTGCCTTGCCTATTTGCATATAGAGAAAATGCTACAAGTAGTCTATGGTGTGCGGATACCACCGTATGTCACTACCATTGGACTGGCTCTGGTCGACTGAAATGTGGACAACATAAAGGGAAGCCAAGTATGGCACTTCTGTGATTAAACATGGATAATATGTTTAAAGGTTATATCTACAATGTGTAAGAACGCGATGCATGTAAATGTAGGAGGAGGATTAGCGAAACAAACAGCTCTATCGTGGTGTTGAGCTTCGGGGAGTTGTCGACGGGGAGAGCGATAGCGATAGCCGACTCTCGGACTGTGAACTATGCAGAGACCTGCTCGCATGTGGGGCCTAAATGCAATGATGTTACGCTCAATGTCATCGCACAACGGGAGAAAGATTGTTAAGGCATACCGTGCTGGGAATGAAGCTGCTACTAGGCCGGCTAGTAGATGAGCGGGCGAGAGTTAAGGGTGGTGGGGTTATTGCCCGGAGGACTGGCGAAATCAGGTTACTAGGTGGACCTTTACACATTCATTACGTGGGGGATAACCTACCACTGGGCACCATGACGTCCATGCCTGATCCTGCGGGTGAAGTTAAGCGATTTGCCAGTGAAGTGGATTGCCTGGGCGATGAGGCGGATTGCGCTTCAACAAATCTTGATACCGGACGATACCCACGAGCAGACAAACTTGGCCTGTCCCTTTCTCGTTCCCGATCTACGTCGGTGCCCAGATATAGAGCGGGAGAACTCGCTCTTCCACCATTGAGTTCATGGTCCGATCCCACCCAGCTACTGGGTGGGGGAGGTGGAGTGGATGTAGATGATCGGCGTCCAGGTTCACCAAAGCCGGTTGGGATTTGTGGAGGTCTTGGGGACACGGTACTCTCGGCTGACGATGGGCGTGAACCGAGGTCAACACCATAGATATTTCCTTTTCCACTAGCTCGGTGCTCCACCGTCTCTCTTCTTCGCCCTCCAGGAGGCGCACTCTGAGAAGCCCTCATTCGAGCTCGTTTCCTTTCCGCTGCGTCCGTGTCGTCGATGCCTTCCTTGAAAACTGTCTCATCCTCCCACATGACACTTTTCCTGACTTGCTTGGTTTCTGATTCCTCTACTGTGGTGGCATCATCTGGAATCTGGATACCACACTCAGCGAGCGTGTGTCTTAATGCCTTGTTTTGCATTGCCAGCCAATTTATTTTCTGCACCAAGTGGTCATTAATGTCCTTTTCCATCTTGTCTCCGGGCGCAGAAAGGGTTTCCTCCTCTACAGTAGGAGAATCCTTGTAATCGCTATATGGACCGAGTCCTTTTCGTCGAGAGGCAACCGCCTTTATGACCATTACCGGGCGAGCCAGTCGGGCAGATACAGCTCTACGCCGATGTTCTGCAGACTGGTGCTGCTTTCCAACCATACCACCTGCCATCCCACCATTTTTGCGACGTTCCTCAATCATCTGCTCCAGTAATCGTGTTTTCTCACTCAGTTCTTGTAAGATGGCATCAATACTCAACGATTCGTAGCGCTGAAGCCGTTCTTGAAGCTCATTTATGCGAGCAGATTCTGAATCTCCGTATCGCCGTCCACCTGCGGAGGCGGCTCGATCTTTGATTGGGGTGAGCTGCCGCACACGTTGTTGCTAGATAATTACCATGAGAATCATGCTGTACATGAGATGCCTATGAACGTCTTTGCAAACCGCTTACCTCCTCTCGCAGCTGCCGTTGAAGGGTTTCATTTTCAGATTCCCTCATACTTAGCATCTGTGAAGCGCGTTGGTGAGCGGATTGAATCGTGGCCGTTCATGTTTATGCAACCACCACCTTTTGAGCCTTTGTGAGCTGCTTCCTCAAAATTCGCTCTCTGGCTTCAGCCTCCCTGTAGCTGTCCCAAAGCTTTTCTTCCGCAGCTTTATTTTCTTCCGTTAGCTTGCGCGTCTAGAATAAGTGTAAAGTAAGAACACCCCGATCCTCGAAATGAAAGTTCACATTATGTACCAACCTTCTTTTCATACATGGAGCGCAAAGACTGCTCTTTGATCACATACATTGACCGGACTTTTAGCAGCTATTTAATGGTAAGGTGAGGTGAGCGGAAGATACACATTGCAACTGTAATTGCCAGCGCGTACCGTCATTTTGAGTTCATGGTTCTCCTGTCGCAAGTCTTGGGCTTCTTCCTCATGTTTAATCATCCACCGCGCGCTGTCCTTCATATTTTGCGGCATTTCCCTGTTGTCAACCACCACTTGCAATTCTTCCTTTTTTGCTTCACCCATGATATTCATGACCTCTTGGAAGGTGTTGACCCGGTACTCTGAGAATCGGTTTCTGAGCACGTTGATCTCCATAACGAGCTCCTGGACAAGGTCGTCATATTCGTCAAGAATTCGGTTCCGGATCTTCCGTTCATCGATTCGGCGATGCTTTCGTAGTTCCGTTAGTTCCACTGAGGTAGTTGCGAAGTCAGCGTGAAGCTCGGAGCATAGATGAAACGCTAGAAGGCGGACATCTCGTTTGTAGTTCTAAACCAAAGCAAAAGTTAAAGTCAGCCCGGCCTAGTATTAAATGATTTTATCGTTGCGATCTTTAGAGTACCTCCAACAGCTCTTTCTTCTCCTGAGCCATAAACCTGATCACTTTCTCTCCATTCTTTATCATTTCCAGCATACGACCCATCAAAGTTCCCATAAAGTGGTCTTGCTCCCCACGTCGCTTTTCCTGCCATTTGGTTAGCTGCAAGGCCAACCTCGTAATCTGCATGATTTGGAATATAAATGAGGAGTCCAACCACTGGTGAAATACTGTTGACCTACCGTTTGGCTCAGTAGTTCTTTGGTACACGCGAAGACACGGGAATCATCCAACGCCGCCTGTGCCAATGCCGTCGCTCCTGTAGCCTGAGCGCCCTTCGATTTGGAGCCTTTCTGAAGCTCTTGCACTTCTCTCATCTGATATCATCGTGAGCTTTCGATATACACTGGTAGAGAAATGGAAGAAGTACTCACAAAGGTTGCATTGGCCTTCCACAAGTCTCGCACGAATTCATTCACCATTCCCGTTTTTGCAGTATAATCCTCCTCACTCATTCGAAAGGCGAAGCCCTTCTCCCCTGTCGGAGCAGGCACATCAATACTTTCGTAAACCTTGAACAATCGACCGGTCCGCTCGTCCGCCAATCTGTCGTGGTAGGAACGTGCTTGACGGAGGAGCTGGAATGTGTACTCTCGGAGAAGCTCCGTTTGGAGAATGGTTGTTTGGCATTTATCAAAGGACTGCATTGAACCCAGTCAGTACGTTTCCAAAAAGAAAAGTAATTGATTCCGTCATACCGCTTGCGCGATGCGGTTAAAGTCAAAATCCACAGTTGCAGTGACCATTTCGTCGCGGAGTAATAGAGCTGTTGTCGGAGACGAACTCAGCTACGTCTTATAATTAGCAGTTTTCTCATCCCGGCAAGAACTTACGAATGCTTGCATTTCCCTTTGCTCCAATTCTGTGATACAACCTGACCGCCGGGACGAGGATCCTCATCTTATATGTTCTAAAGAATTCTCCTAGTTGTTCCTCTGTCTGAAGTCAACCTATCAGTAAACTCATTCGGACCACGAGAGATAAAGAAGCCCACTACCTTAATACCATCCGGCAATAAAACTCTTAAATAAGTCCGTCGCAGAGCCAAAAGCTTTAAGCCGGTCAGCAGAAAATCGCTTTGCATTTTATTCACTTCCTCGGCGTTTTCTCCAAAGTTCAGTAATGTGGCCTGAAAGAATTCGTCCAGGCACTCTTCCAGATCCAATACTTTTTTGTCGCAGACTCGTTTTGTTTTATCGTCAAGTGTAATAAAAATGTACGGGCTTGGATAGGGCGTGCGACGAAGGGATATATCTACCTGTAAACAAGCCAGCAATGTGAGCCCTTCGTACTGTTTCTACAAGTACGCTCTGTTATATACCCGCGATATCGCCGCTAGGACTTTAAAAGACGGTTGCTCGACAAGATTGACCAGATTCAAAATCCGGTCATGATGAGAAAGTAGGACACCGTGTGCCTCTGGTCGCTAAAATAGATACAGTTTTGTCTTTCAGCAGGTATTTTTCTCTTTTCAAAAGTACTCAACAAGCTACCCACAAGATTCATTCCAATTGTATACATCGAGCTGGCCAAAGCCAACCGCAATTTCAGAATCCAAAGTTGCCATTTTGATAGCAAGTATGTCTCAATCCTCGTAAACTCCGCCTGGGGTCCTTGATAAGACAAGTCCTTTTTGAAAGCATTGATTGCATTTACAACATAATCTGCCTCCCTAACTTGCCGCACTGTGCGCAAACAATCAGATAAGGGTAGCCGCGAGGAATAGCATACAAGTCGCATGTTTACCTTGCGCTGCATATCGCCGATTATCCTGCAACAGATGCGCAAAGACACCGACAAAGAGGAAGAGGTCGAAAATGGTAGATTGTATGGAAAGAGCTCGTCGAAAGATTTGTGCGTTGCGATAGACTTTCTGAGAAAGCTCGATTGTTCCTTTAATGGCCTTTTCTGATTGATTTGGGATCATCTGAAATAGAAATTCATGAAAATGTGTCTGCAGGAGGGCGCTGGCGGTAAGCTTACAATGATTTCCGTCAAATAAGGTAAATGCCACAGTTTGCAAATCTTCTCCGTCCCCGTCAAGTCTGTATGGACAACGTCCTGAATTTGTACGGTTTCCATGCTGAGTTTAGCTGGATCGATCTCTGCTTCTGCTGTCCCCTTCTCCTGGTCTGTTTAGCATGCGCCGTTCAGTTTGCTAGGCATTGGGCTAAACATTCATTCTCAACGGATGAAGACTCACTTGCAAAGAAATCAAAGTGTCTCTTTACTTTAGATGTACGGAAGAGTAGTTTCCCGTACGTCGTGCTGAGGACAGTGTTGCGGAATTCATTTATGGACTTTGCGTATTCTGCTCGCTCGCATTCTTCGAGAGCAATTTCAACCATATTGGAGAAGTACCATTCGATCAAAGAATGCTAAAAGATAACTTGAGTAAAATAGCTTGTATAATGTACACAGGAGGATGTAATATGGTACCTTGGTGTCCACCATTGCTGCTTCGCGTTCTTCATCAGAAAAATCGGGGCGCGTGTGTATCTTGTACCTACATAAGGTACCTCAGTTATTGCGATATATATGACATTTTCATGCGTTGATACGTACAATCGTCCATACTCTGATAGCAGTATCTTGCGCAGGGCTTTCTTCTTTGGCACAACTGTGGTTACCAACAGTCTATAATCGACATCAAAGCCTTGTTGGGCGGCATCAGCATTGTTGTATCGTTGTGGTGAGCGCCGACCGGACGCAGGGGTCTGTAATTCAGTTTATGATGCGTTCAATTTTCTCATCAATCTCTTCAGTACTAAAGGCATACCTTTGCTTTTTCAACTTTCACTGCTTCCCCCTCAAATAGGAGTTTGGCATGCAACTCTCCCAAGAGCATGTCATGCATCTCGACCGCACCCATATGCCAATTCTTCTCTACCAATTGAACTTTTAAACTTGTCCGAAGTTGCTTGATGCCATCAGGTTTCATCGCTGTCTGTATCCCCGGCAGGCTCGCCAGGTCGAAGGCGCCTTTAGCTGTCGTGGTCGTGGTAGCGGTGCCTATCGTGTCGTCGAGTTCAACAATAGCCAAGGGTCCGAAACGAAGTAAAGACATGGAGGATTGCCAAGTGGCGTCTCCACGATCGTCTTCGCTGTCCTGCGAGCTTCCTGTCGGCATACTGTGGCCATTATCATGCTTATCAGCATATTCTTCTTCATAATCATCCTAGATCATCATTGAAGTCAATCGCGGGTCTCCCCTGACGAACTAAAGTCAAGTATATCACCTCAACAGCTGTATTATCCGCCATATCTGGCGAATCAAATCGGAGTGAATTCAGTCTCCCGGTGAACGCAGCTTTATTGACTCCCATCTGAGGAAACTGCAATTCGTAAATCTTCCTCAAATACTCTGTTACGCAAAGATGAGTCTAAACAGACTCCAGCCAACTGAAACTACTACCATATCTTACCCGTTCCCAGCCAAGCAAAGTATAGCCGCTCTCTCATGACCAATAATTTCACGAACCGTTGGCATATCTCCAGCCCCTTATTTTTAAACCCTGTATCCGTAAATGGCGTTAAAGCGGCCGCATAGATACTCAGCCCTTTATCTCGTTCGTTGGTTTCGTATGGGGTATAATGGTCCGTGAGTAATATGTCAGGTAAGAGGGGATTCTCCAGCCAAGTTTCTGCGTCGAGTTGCCCTATGAGACGTTTTCCACGAAGTTGAGGGATTTTGAAAGAATGGTCCGAAAGGCATTGCCAAGTGTGCTGTAAATGATGGTCAAGTCAACAGCCAATTTCATCATTGTACTCTGATAACTTACATAAAGCGATTTCCAAACAGTGCATTCAACAACCTGCCGGTTGAAAGACTGCGTGATCCTCCCATTGCTTTTATCCAGGCCCATCGTTTTTCCCTGCACTAAAAGCCCTTCGATAACTCTTCCCATCTCATTGCACGCAGTCTTTGCCGCATCATAGACATCAATTATGATATCCATTGTTGGAATCATTTCCGTCATGTTAACAATGACGCCGGCGTGATGCATCGTGACAGTTTGCTTTTCATTTTCTAACGCCATTTTAGTATGAATAACGATCTTTCAAAGGAAGCACCTTAAACTAACCATCCAGCAAAGGCAATCCAGCCACTACCGGACTCTCTATTGGCCTTTTTATTCCAAATCCCATCGTCTCGGGTATGGCAACATCGTCCGCACTGTCGCTTGCATCGCTTTCCCGCGCAGCTGTCGGATCAACGCGGGCAAAATATCGTTTGACCCATTCCCGATATCTCTCAACACCGTCTTTTATCATCGGGAGAACGGTTTGAGCGTGAATTTGCAGCATTTTTGTCGCAACCGCGTAAAAGCGAGAAAAGTAGGGCGACTAGGTAGATTTGTTTTAAGTCAGATGTGAATGAACAATATGTCCTGGATAACACTTACACTGAAATCGAAATTGGGACGAATATGCATCAAGTCTGTAATAATTTGCGCTATACGCTGGATGCGGCATGGATCACGAGTGTGTTCATATACCTCCATATACGCATTAACGAGCTGTAGATGCGTTCCATTAGCTGATTGTCCACAAGTGGGTACATGAACAAGGATCTTTCTCACCTCCATCTTTGCAAATTGAAATTTAACCTCATGGTCATACAGTTCCAATAAAAGTTGAGCACGGTCGAGGTTAGGGCTCCGGAAGGTATAGCTGCCTTCCAAAAAGTCCGCTAATCCATAGTGTACGAGTCTTAATGCGCTTGTTGAGACGCTTGAAGGAAGATGTGAACGAACCTTTCCGCTCAGACATTTTAAACCGCATCTCATCTTCATATTTTCGATCAGATTCTATGCCACTATCTGTTGGTTCGGGTGTGGACTGCCTGCCCTCATCGACTGGGCCGTAATTAATGTATAAGGTTGCTGCTTTCAAAAGTGTTGTTTCGAGTGTCTTTAGATCATCCACCGCAACATCTGCCACAAGGCGCTTTGCTTGATCAACGCTGGTCACAGCAAACAGTTGAAAGATGACAAACCCAGCTCACCGTAAACAAAAGGAATCCCGCGATGATCCCTTATTATCACCACACCGTCAACAAGTCCCCTAATATCTTCAGTTCCACTTCCATCCTTTTCATTGGGACCACGTCCACTCCCACTGGCAGCACTATTCGGTCGCTCGCTAGATGCATCTGGCATGTCAAACAGCTCCTGTTGATGCCACATGTGCGTGATCAAAGCTGCTGTGGCCAGTACGTTCGGGCGCTCTTTTTCTCCCTTGGCAGAGTCTGTCACCTCAACCTTAACCCGAGCCTTGGTCTTTTTCCAATCAAGGTTAATACGTTTCTCAATTGAGCGGAAGAAATTGAGTTGAGAGAGCAATGATGTACGAAGATCCCTGAGGCGAATATGTCGAAGTTGGAGGAAAGAAAATATTTCATGTTCGGAAAAAAGGGTAGATATCGTGGGATCGCCATCTGTTCGTTTGGAGTCCGTCCCAGTGATTTCCTGTTCGACTTTGCGCATTTCTACATTGGAGCGCAAGATAAGGCCAAACGCATGTTTCTTTCCGTCCAATACCCGGAAATCTTTTGGTAGCTCCATATCTCTCGGGTCAGGAACCTTCATTCCCAATTCGAATGGCTTTCCTCCTGCTATTGTCCCTCCAGATGCGAGGGCGGGCATAGTCATTCCATCGCCAGCGTGGTTCTCTTGGAGTTGATCGGACTGTTGTTGTGGCTCATGGGCAGATGAAGGACGGGACAATGTAACTCCAGGAGAGGACTGACTGGTCGATGAAGTTTCGAAAACTCGTCGTGCGGCTTCACGTAGCCGACTCACAACAGATTCCAAATCGTTTGAAGCTATCAAATCATGTTCGTACCGTAGCTCAAAGTCCACGTCTCTACGCTATAACATGGATTCGACTCATGTCAGCTGGACTGTAGAATGATCTGGGGCATATCAAACCTACCTGGCGCAGAAAATCAAACTGGGATTCTTGCCACCCTTCAAACTCTGGATAAAACGCCACGTCGCGGATCCAGTCGGCATATCGCAACCGGGGAGCATTTGGGTCTAAAGCAATTCGGAGATGTGATTATCATGTTTTCCCGGATACAGACGACATAATTTGGTGCATACTTTTGAATCCTGGATGTAAATTCAATCCCGCCAAAGCCGCAAGCGAAGCCTTTGAATCGTGTACAGACGCAGACCCTTGTTGCGCACTCGGCAATCCAGCGGGTGCTGCACTTCCCACCCTCTGCTCAGATGGAGCAGTTTCACCATCAGAAATGATGCCAATAACATCATACGGTGGGAAAGATATCTCGGCTGTTTGCCGCCGAAAGGCTTCAGAAAACTTTGAATCTACTTCGTACGCAAATGGCCGGCCATCTTCGCGCGAGATGGGGGTTTCGAGGTTCCAGTACGCAACGAGTAGATCGAATTCGGTCAGAAAGTCTTCAATTCGCGGAGTCTTGACGGGCGGGTTTTCAATATAACTAGTGTCAAATGAAAAGCAAATCAACGAGCCGCTCAGTCAGACCAATCTCCTCTGATCGCAATGCTTAACCCTACTTGTTTATGCCCTCCAAAATATTCAAGGTCTCCAAAACTCCCTGTGAAGGCTTGGCTTCGTTCACCAGTCGGTAATCCTTGATAAGTTGAACCCGGTCGCTGTGCACGAGCATCTTTTTGAGCATGAGCGGGAGATTTGATCGTGCGGGGTTTACGCAACGCGTACTAGTCTTTAGACTTTTGGGTATCCCTTACCTTGGCTCTTTGAATGAACATTTCAACGTGTTTTCGGGCAGCTATGGTTGAGATTGACCAACGGAGGAAGACTACAAAATCACTGATGTCGAATAAAGGATCGGTGCCGAGCTCATTTGGGCCAAAAGGTGGCGATGGGGCTTCTGTTGCCGACTTTGTGGATCCCGCTGCTTCTCCACCTTGCTGTTCTCCCCCCGCCATTTTGGTGCTCTGTCTTCCTTGACTGGCGGCCGTCTTTCCCACCGCTGTTGTCTTTGGACGGGTATTTTGTAAAATACCTCGACGTTCGCGCTCGATTCGTTCCGCCTCAGCTCTCGCCTGGAATTTAAAATGTCAATGTTACTCTCTCCTATTCGCTTGGTGCAAGACGCCTTTACCTCCTCCTCCCGCGCACGGCGTTGCTGTCCCTCGTGAGCGTCCGCTAGCCTCTCATATCTGCTGACTGCATCTGTGTACTCAGCTTGCAACCACTCTTGATATCTTTGAAAGGTGGTGAAAAACGTTGCAATGTCATAGGACGTACGACCTGGTAAACCAAACTCATTAGTGACGTGTCTTCCATTGCCCATGATAGGTTGAACGTACAGAATCTGCTCCATCTGGATAACAAAAGCGCGTTCTCTTCTACTAGCTGCGTTGCCTTTTCCTTGTAAAAAGTCATCAACAGCAGAAATAACTTGTCGGATGTGAGCTCGGCGTCAACATTCCAGTAACTGTCGAGCTATGTCATGTGTCAGAGGAGATCTAGTTTTACATGAGATAAAAGTACAAGATCTACCTCCTGTGCAATCGCCTCCCAAGCGTATTTTACTTTAACAGGCATCTCTATCCGAAGTATATTTTCTAGTCGCTCGGCTCGGATTTGCTTGAACTTTTCAAACACGCTTTTTTCAAAGCATTAACCAAGTCATATGGTGCTTAACTTGTATTTAATGTTAAACAAACCTCATCCCTTGATAGGCACCCAGTCGATCTCTTCGGCCACTGATATTTTGATAGTCTTTGTGTCGACCTTCGTGAAGCCCGCGAATGTCATTGAGTAGCTAGGATCATATTCTTAATCAATGGATGCAGGGAAAAAAGCTTATGGGCTTTCTTAAACCTACGTCTTCCATTCTCTTATCTAAAGCAAATAAACTTTCTGGTGGCTGCTCTTTCAATTCATCAGGGATCTCGGCTTCCACTTTTTCGTTTGCCAGCGGGTCTAGTTCGGCTTGGGCGGCAAGTGCTGCGACACCGGCCGCGACCGACAATTTCTCGGCCGCGCTGGCAGATGCAGCTGCCATATTAGAATAGTTTTAAAAAGGACAGTCTAATCCCTCCTGCGGTTTTCTAACTACGACCAAATGTGCCCAATTTCCTCAAAACCGATATAAGTCGGACTTGAACACGCTCATCGCGATTCCATGTGACGTGGCGCATGGGGCTTACGTGATGCCGATCCATTTTTGTGTTGCTGAGGGCGGTTGAACTTATGGTTACCGATACTAGTTCATAGAATGGAACTATTGACCCGCGCAATAGAATCAAAAGACGGATTAGCCGTCGTTGAGCGGGTAACTTTGCCCACTATCAGGCAGGAATGGCTGCAAGCGATATGATCTATCTTGGGCGGGAACTCGAAACTGTTATGTGTTGTAGACAAGATGCTGGCGGGTTGTGGCCTTCAAGTGGTTCACGTAGGAGGCTCCTTATTTAGACATGGTAGCCCAATATCCACCAAAACTTGAATTATCAAAGTTTTATACTATGAGTAGGTCCGTATTTGTTTTGGAATCCTGCACACATTTGTGGGCATGTAGCAGTCATGCAAGATGCGCCGAACCCGCCCAATGCCCCACACCGAATGTCTCTGTTTTGGTTCCCAAAATGCTGTCATTGTGCAAAATCCCTTGCTGTTGCGGCGCCTCCTTGCTGGTGCGTCGCCAGTGGGTGGTCGGGGATCGCACAGTGTTCCTGTGCATGCGCCAGTGCAGGCTCCTGTGCATGCTCCATGTGCAGGCTCATGTGGATGTTCCATCTGCCAGGCAAGTTCAACAACCACACAATCACGTGAAAATATCCAATGCACTCTAATGCGATGTGCCACTGTACGACATTGCCGTAACCTAAAAAGGCAATGCTTACTCATCACTCTAATACTAAGCCCCTTTCAAAACACTGCAAGAGAACACAATGAAAAAGGAAGGCTTTGGGGCGGGTGAGCGTTTGCCGAAAAGGAGAACGGTGACTTTTTTGGTTTTTGGGGGGGGGGGGGGGGGGGGGGGGGGGGGAAGGCAAGTGCAAGAAGCAAAGGAGGTTTGAAAGGCAAGCGGCACTTTTCCACCCCATTTTTTTTTATTCTTTTTGGCTTTGTTTGCAAGCTTTGTATCTTGCTCCCCCGCTTCCTCGTCCTTCAGCAGTTTTCTTTTTGCGTGTGGCTACGATCGTTTAGCGTTTTTAGTTGTCCTGCAGTGGAGGAACTGTTGTCTTTAAAGAGTTTGGGTGCTGTTCGACGATAGCAGACCTATTCTCTACGCTTCCTATCCTCGCTTTTTATATTACCCAATACCACACATTTATATAAATCACACAGAATGGAGTCAATATACGCATATCCTCCCGCAGTTCACAGAGAAGATGCCTATTTGCAAGCCTATGCGGCGCTAACTGGCGGAAAGCGACGGCCATCCGATGAATCCATCACATCCGGAATGACCTCGGCAACAAAGACGAGCGATCCACGGCCAAGCAATATCAACAACACGAACGGCTCGAGTGCAGACAAGCTGATCATGCACACATCGCCCAGACGGTCAGTCGCCACAGACGATGCCGCCCGATTGGTCTACATGACAAAGTTTGGAGGAAAGACAGACTTTCCGTTGGTGAGAGAAGAAACGACCATTGGGCGAAAGGATGATAACCACATTGCATTGCCGTGCGCCAAAATCTCAAAGTACCACGCAGTCGTCAAGAGAGGTGAACATGGTTACTACATACGGGACCGAAATTCTTCAAACGGCATCAAGATTAATGAAAAGCTCATTTCGAGTGCTCCACAGCTACTCAAGGATGGCGACAAGATTGATATCGGGACGTTTACATTGTTTTTTCAAGATGAGGTTCAGGAGGACGGTGGACAGGCCCAGAGAAATTCGTACGAGCCATCAAGCCCTCTTTCACCCACTGCCTCGACAGTCAACGGAACCCTAACCCAACGCCCCTCTTCCCTCACAGAAGAGGAATACCGCTTTACAAAACTTGTCACTATTCTTCCCTCTGATCAAAAGTATGAAGAAAGTGTTACGATCAGAGCCGAAATGTCTGCAACAACCGCCGATACGGATTTTCGGCAATGCCAGGATGTAGCAGACATGGCCACCTTGAAAGAGGACTATGAAAAGCTTCGACTCGCATATGAACTGTCCAAAGTTTTTACGACGAATGTCACGGAAGCACTTTCCAAATCTTGCGAACTCATGTTTGAAATCCTCCCCGTCGATCGTGCCGTTGTTCTACTGGTTGATGACGACACCAATATGCTTGGAACACATTATGTCAAAGTACGGGAAGGCAAAGGTTACGATAAAAAGGAAATATGCCTGAGTTCCACTATCCTACGCAAGGTGTATCACTCCCGCAAGTGCCTTATTACATCGGACGCGTTTGAAGATCCCATGTTGAGCAAACAGGCGTCCGTCAAAGTCGGTCAAATTCGGTCGGTCATTTGCGTTCCTTTGATTGCTCACAGCAAAGTTCTTGGAATCCTTCACCTGGACTCACGGGACAGGATAAACACCTTTTCGAAAAAGGATCTATCTCTTGTGTTGACCATCTCGACGCAAACCGCTATGGCGATCGAAAATTCAATGTTGATTAAAGAGATTCAGCAAAAAGCACGATTGACCGAAAACTTGTCCCGGTTCTTGCCTCCTCATGTGGTTTCCAAAATGACGAGTGCCAAGGGTTCAGAGGGCATCACTCGCGGTGGTGGGCGGGATACAGTGGGAACAATTTTGTTTGCGGATATCAGAGGGTTCACGCAGATGAGCGAAAAGAGTACTCCGAGTGAGGTTGTGAGTTTGTTGAACGATTACTTTGAGCGGGTAAGTTCTGTCCCTCCAAGAGACGTTAATATGCTACTTGTCCTAATAAAAGGTCTTTTACCAGCTGGTGAATATTGTATTCAAGTACTCTGGTGTGGTCGACAAGTACATTGGTGATGCTCTCATGGCGGCCTTTGGCACACTCGAGCATGAAGGCCCGGACGCCGAGTACCGTGCCGTCTGTGCTGCCCTTGAATTCAAGCAAGCAATCGACGACATGAACGAGGAGCGGGCCAAGGTGGGCAAAGAGCCCATCTCGATTGGAATTGGTCTCAACACTGGTAAAGAAAAGCTTTTATGTTTGTATATTGAGATCGACGCGTGTATGAACCATTTTTGTTTCTATTCCAGGTGAACTCTTGACGGGCTTTATTGGCTCTCCTCAGCGTCTCGAATACACTTGCATTGGCGACACTGTCAACACGTCCTCACGTATTTGTTCAATGGCGTCTGTAAACCAAGTTTTAATTTCACAGTCGACCTTTGACGCCATCACAGGACGTGTGGAAGTCGTTCCGGTCGGTTTGCGCATGTTTAAGGGAAAAGTGAAGGAAGTGATGGTTTGGGAAGCGATAGGGATTCTGCCAGTATGAAATTGCTGTGTTTGGTGGACTGTAATTATTATTCTTATTTTGGGTTTGGTTGCTGATGGGTGGTGTATATATACTGCACATGTATGAAATTTAAATTCGCAAAGATTGGCATATTGGACTCGTTAACATTTTTTTGCATATTCTGAAGGGATAAGTGTTTATTGTCTTGATTGGCGGTACGCCCGATACTTGCCTCTGATCATGTGATTCGGTAACAAAGATGGGACCTGCAATTTGATCCCATTTAGCTTTGGTTGGGTTGTCGAATCGCAATTACTGAAATGGATCGACGTTGACCATGCGCATCAAACGAGATCAAACGAGTCGATCACCGTGGTATCTATCGACTACGAAAAACGATCTCCTCCTTGCGTCATGATCAAGCCCCGTACTTTGTCTGTGTACCTTACGAGATGAACGCCAAAGGACGCAGATTGTCTCCTGGGGCGTTACAAACCGTCACCCGCGGGGTCATCGAAAGGTATACAGCCAGGGATAAGCTTATTATCCCCTTTATAAGGGGGACAACGAGAACAGGCGTTCAGTTCAAAAGATGGGGGGGGGGGGGGGGGGGGGCTTTGCTGAGGTTTAAGAGAAATGTCACGCTGTACGACTACAGCGTTTTTTGGGGAATGTTTCGTCGGTATGGATACGTCATGCTTCCATATCTAGATTTAATCACTTGTGGTAAAACAGAACGACGGGCCGTCTTTTTAATTGGATTTTCTATGCTCTCCATGTTCTGTAGCCATTTGACTTGTTAGCGTTATTGGCTGACCCAACCACAAATGTTTTGTAGACAGCTGCAGTATGTTTTGCATGCTTTCAATCTTGTTCTTTTATGATGGCCTACACTAGCGGAGGTCACAGTTTTTGAAGATCTTGTCCTATCTTGCGCGATGGTCAAGGACAATCAAACAGTACTGAAGAATAACCAATAATATCAGCGTCATTTCATGACATGGCATTTCCTTTTGCTTTTGTTTTCATAAAATCACACACATTAAAAACACTCCAACACACACACGAAAGAGAAGCGAAATTCCATAGTCACAAATGACATACCTGTGCATGACGTCAGAACGCGTTGATGTTTCTTTCTCCTCCTCCTTGGCTTCTCCTTTAGTGCCAAAATCGAGATATAAAAAGGGTTGGACTGGCAGCCGTTTCCCTTTTTATTCTTTACTCTTCAGATTCTGCAAGACGGGCATATAGCCAACAACATACAAGAACAACCAACACACGACCAACCCATCACTACACACACAAAAAGAATGGTGTCCGCAGCTCAAATATGCGATTACCTTCTCGCCTTTTTCCTTCCACCTCTTGGTGTCTTTTTCAAGCGAGGCTGTTCGGCAGATACGTTTATTAACATTGGATTGACCATCCTTGGATATATCCCAGGTAAGCTGCTTTAGTCTATTGGATGAATGACAAAAGATTGGGTTCTAATGACGCGCGTTTCGTTGGTAGGAATAATACACGCCTTTTACATTATCCACAAGCACCGTCCAGGTGTTGTTCTGGCATGAGAAGAGGGTTAGTGATGTGAGGAGGAGGAGGAAATGGTGGGGGGACGAATTATGATGAACGGATGGCTTTTGTTATCTTTGTATACGATGTAATGCTATAGTCAAACACATTGGTTTTTATGTTTGAACTGGCCACTGTCTTGATGGTTGACGTTGCTGAGGTAGCATTTCATTCTTTGGGGATCCTTCAAAAGAAGAGAAGTAATGAATGATCCGAGCCACTAGCCCGTATACTGAAAAAACGTCGTGGCATGCAAATAATGGCACCCATTTCTCCTCCATTATCCAACTGGAACTTGCCGATCACACTGCTATTGCCGCAGCGCATGTATGTAAAGCGCATACTTACTGGCAAGAAAAAGTCAAATCGTCGGCAAATGTACGATCACCCTCCAATAAAACCCTCAATCAAGCGAGTCTCAATGCGGAAGACACATCATCAATTTCCGCACCCTTGTCTGCTTCAAGCACCGTCACAGAACAAAGACAGAGGAAGAAACACGAGTGCGCTATATACTCTTGCCTAGAAAATCCCATTTCCGTCAGTGTATGTGCAATCCATCAACCCGGCAGCACATAGACCAAAAGAAAAGCAGGATATGAAAGTAAATGTACATGGCCAAACCAGGCCACCATGATCCACTATAGCTGAGTGGACGGCCAAAACGCTCCATGCAGGCCTGGCTCTACCGCTTCACACGAGAGAACAAGATGCTGTTGAATGCCATGCACAATGTTGTGGGTACTGTGGTGCGGTGCTGTCGTGGTAGCAAAGGAAACACAACTGCTGTTTGACAAGGTACAGAGTTGGTACAGCCATGGTTTGTCAAAGAACAGATGCAAATCTCGATGCAATCATGTGTGGATGCAATGGTCTTGGCTTTGGAGGCGAGACGACATCCCAAAAATCCGACAATCACCATGGCAATGAAAAATCACGTTTCTGCGGTCATGTGCCTTGTCACACTCTGGGGTTCCAGATCACGTTGCAGAATCACGTGGCGTTCATTCCTTGAGATGGTCGGACCGCAGTCTGGGCGACCAATGGGGAACACAAAAGCAGACCCAGGAAAGACGTTTTCAGAGCGGCCATATTTCCTTGGCGGGGAATCGGGCGGAAGATCCCGGATTTAAACGGTTTTAGACTCGAAAGAGACTCCCATCAGGGCTGGTTACGCAACGGCCTTTGGCCTGTCCCCTTTTAGATGATGCCAGACGCCAAAAAAGGTCTTTTGCAAGCCATAGCCTGAAGGTTCATTGCCGCTTTTGGCGGCTTGTATCGTTGGTGGTGACGTTTTGAATCTGTCGTACAGCTGCGAATCGTCGGTTTGACAAATTGTTTTGATTGTTTGCTTTAGAATCCAGGTGCTTGTTCCCATCACATTCTCCATCAAAACCAGGAAACGATACTATTTCCACAAAATTGTGGTGGTTGAATGGTGATGATGGGGAGAGATGGGCCGCTTGGTTTGTGATTTAAGACGCCATCGTGGATGATATTTTTTTTATCGCAGTCCATCTCTATGCCCATTTTTTTAATTTCCCATTCAACAATCCATGATTCATGAATGGGGGACAAGAGTCTTTTTTTTTGCTGTAACCAATCGCTCGACGGACCTTTTATATCCGGTACGCTGGCCAAGCCCTCCGATTTTCACGCATTAGTAACTTTGGAATGCCACCATTGGCCCCTTTGTCGGCACAAGCGAGTCGTTCCAAAGAACGACACCGCGGACAAGATCAAATATCCGCATCTCTCTTTTTTTTAATCTTTTCCTTTCTTCCGATTTCTGAATGGCGCGAGGTAAGTCAACCTGTGGGAAGAACGCCAATCGGCTCCAATGGGCAGTTCATCTAGGGCATTCCCATAAGGCATCCCATAGCCAAAATGTTGAAAGGTTCCGCTTTTACTACAGGGATGAATCATTTTGCAGTTGCGCCGGATGGTTGGGGAAGCAAGTTATGTCACCCTGTTGTGTACCAGAACAGCCCAGATGGAAACTGCGATGATTTGAAAGCTTCCCAATCAAAAGAATCACGATTTTCCATGGTGACTCCATGCCTCGGCCTTTTGAGTTGCCTTTGCCGAGGTCCAGACTCGCCACCACGAATAAGCCGCCCACACGCGACACGTCCCAGGAGGGAGGTAAGTATATAACCGATACCACGGGATAATGCGAGCGTTGTACAAGACACGATCACGATCGTTACCAAAACTGCGGATAATGTATGTTCCACCAATTGGGCCGTGTGAATTGGAAATCATCTTTTTTCAACTGCGCTTTCCCCACCAATGGGCTGATTTCTTACGACATTTCTTTCTAGTCCGTAGTTCGGAGGGTTAAAGGGGTGGAGGGGGCGTTTGTCGTAAAAAAGGGCCTAAAAATAATTGTTTTACACAAGGGAACAACGGGTGGGAAGAACAAGAAGGGAATGGGAGGCGGTTTTTTTTGTGTTGGAGTGTGTTGTTGTTGTGTGTGTGCCGCGCGTTTTTTGGCCCTGGAGAGAAACCTCATTTTGTAAAATGTCGCAAACTGGGGGACAAAGGATGGGATATTCGTCATGGTGGTCGGGATGATGATGCATGAAATTGAGGGTTCCTTTGATTTTTTTCCTTTTTTTGACCCGTCGGCCCTCCATGGACTCTAGCCTTATTTTAGATACTCAATATTATCCCACTTTTAAAGAGCAGTTCTCCTCCCCTCCGTGGAATTTATTATAAAAGATCCTTTTTTTTTTTCCTTGGCTGTGGGTTTCTGCAGTTCTGCCACAAGATCTAAAAAGGAAGACGCTTTCTTGCATCGCCGCCCCTTTCAATAACCATCCAGACACACACACATCTGCATCTGCAAAAAACATTCAAGAAGCACGCATACCCACAATCCACGAAAACTTAGATCCTTTCCAATACGATGCGACTAGACGACAACTTGCTGTCATCGTCGGGCTTTTCATACCTGTCCCTCGACCATGGCTTGCCTCTCTCGGCAGATTCATACCCGTCAGCAAATGTCGTGGCTTCAACACCCACGTACGCTACGCCAGCCGTGTATGTTGCTTCTGAGAGTAGATCATTGGAAGACAGCGTCTACTGCGACCATCCATACACGTTCCTAGATCATCACCCGCGAGCGGAATCCTCGGAATCGGACTTGTCTGATTTTGAATCAGACCTTTTTTTGAATCCGGCTGGCCTCTTTGGTTCGTCGTCATCGTCGGGCACATCGAGTCAATTACACATGAGGACAAGCCCTGCACCGTCTTATACCGGATCTGACGGAAGCGCGAGTCCGCTTGTAGGCGGTATCTCTCCGTGCTCAACGTCATCGTCGTTGGCTGCGTGGGAAAAGACACTTGGCGCAAATCGCCCGGTATGGGAAGATGACGGTTTCTTTCAGGACGATGGTGGGCATCGCTTGGGTGCCTGGCTGGGAAATGATCATCCAACCTACTACTCTGGCGAATCAGCCATGGGCCCACCCAAGATGGATCATGGTTTGAGCGAGTATGGCAAGATGGACCGAGGACATCATCATATACCTTATTCGGTGCCCGCACCTCAGCCGACACCACACTTGAGTCAATCGCACTTGTCGCAGCAGCACCAGCGCCAGCCGCCGCCGCAGCAGCAACAACACCTCCACCACCACCAACATCACCCACAGCAAAACCCTGGCAGATCCTCCGGGTTGGGATATCCTGCGAGTGACGAGCGGTACTATCATCCTCACGCATACGGTCACCAGGAACACCAGCAACATCAGCAGCAGCAGCCAGTGCGTCATCAACCACACCAAATGCTCTCAGTCTCGCCGTATCGACCGCCGTCTCGGCCTCTTCCCTCTCAAACTGCGCATCGCCACCATCATACCCCGTCCATCTCGCCTTCATCGTCGTCATCATCGGCGTCATCATCGGCGTCATCGCTTGCAAGCACGACAAATACATCATCGTCTGCAACACCGCAACTCCACAATACATACCCATACCTCCCTCCTCTTCCCCACCATCGCCACCAACCGCCCGAACCACAGCACCGCAATGAGCAACCGCCGCGTGAACGTCGCTTTGAATGCGCACAGTGCCTTAAACGCTTTCTACGCCGACAGGACCTTAATAGGCACTCTGCGACGCACTTGAATGGCTTCAAGCCTTTTCGGTGCGATTACTGCGGTACGGGGTTCACCAGACAGGATGCCTTACATCGTCATGGTAAGGCAAAGAGATGTTTGTCCAAGCGGCGGTCGGCTAGTGATGAACGGTAGAGATCTGTTCCCTCTTTTTTGTGTATAGACTTGCTGACAAAGACTGTGAAAAACGTTGCTGGAATTTCGTTTTCCTCTTTCTGTTTGTTGGAAATGGTTTCTTGTTCTACTTTATTTTTTTTGGTCCGAATATAGACTGTTCATACTTTCCTTCTTGTCTTTTGCATATTTCCTCCCTTTTTTGGTGGATGGAGTTTTCTTCCTTGTGTACTAGACAAATGCTTTGCACTGTTAAAGTTCAAAAACTATAGAAGTTATAATATATTGACAGGTCCTTTACTAGTAAGTTGAATTGTGTTGTTTTGGGACAGATGCCAACCTTTGAACACTTGGGAAACGTTTCATTACTCTTCTGTTGCGCTTCCTGCTGACGACATGCAGAAGGATCTGGGAACTTCCCTTCAGGCGGGGTGCGCTCCCCTCCATCCCGCGCATCCAATTTGTGCCTCTGCGGATCGACCTCAACTTGGTAATCAGAGCTTCACTGCCCCCCAGATCTTCTAATTGACCACTGATCAAGAACATCAGCACACACACACATCTTTACATCGCATATCATGACTGATAAGTGCATACAACGAGGCCTAGAACTCAAAACCCTGTCATATTTCCGTCTAGGCCTTGGTGATACTCTTGCACATCTGGCCATGCCCACGGCTTTGAAATAAATGGAACAACTAAACCTTTGTTGGCTTTTTGTTTGAACAACACTTTTATTATCAATTTATAATCACGTGATTTTGTACTAAGCGCTCGTATTTTTTGTTGGATTTTGGGCTGGGAGGAAGGAACAACTCCGACTTGCAGTTCTTTGGTTGTGCTTCTGTGGTACTCTTCGAGCATCCTTCCATACCCACGCTCATTAGGGCACCTCGAGTCCTCCGCAACACACAACCATGGGCAAACCTGACGCCCAACCCAAAGCTAAAAAGGGCGGGTCAGCACTCAAAAAGCTGAAGTCCACACTAAAAGAGGCCGGTGTGCTTGGCAAACACCACAAAATCTCCAAAAAGAAGAGCGCAACACATCGAGCCTCTGCTCTCTCTGCCCGAAAAGAAGCCGTTCAAACATTGCGAGATTTAACGTCTAGACAAACCAACCCTTTCGAACTCCAATTCACTCGCACAAAGCATGACGTTCTGAACCGTAAAGTCAAGGGCGCACAAGGTCGTCCGGGTGCGGTTCGCAAACGAGGAGAAGAGAATAGGAAAAAGACTCTAGCTGTCGAGATGGATCGGAAACGAAAAGAGTCGGCATTTGTGGATCGGCGATTTGGTGAGAACGATCCCAGTATGTCCATGGAGGATAAAATGTTGGAGCGGTTCATGAAAGAGAGGTCAAAGCGGTCTGATAGGGGAAACCTATTCAATTTGGAGGAGGAAGACGACGAGGAATTGACGCATCTGGGTAAATCCTTGTCCGAAGATGCATTTAACGATGCCGGGTTTATGCGGGTGGAAGATGATGAGGATTCCGGACAAATTGATCGAAATACTGTTAGGTATACTCATTTTGGAGGATTCAGTGATGATGAGGAAGTGGAAGGCGAAGATGGAAAGAGAAAGTCAAAGAATGAAATCATGAAGGAAATCATTGCAAAGAGCAAAATGCACAAAAGGGAAAGACAGTTGCAAAAGGAACAAGATGATGAATTAGCGGATGCCCTTGATGCCCAATTAGATGATATCCGTAATCTCCTTGTTCCAAGCAAGACACCTCCCACGGAACGATCCACTACTACAAAAAGTCTCACAAATGAGCCATCTACTGACTACGCCGACTATGACTCTTTTGTCCGAGAGTTAGCCTACGAGCGCCGTGCAAAACCCACCGATCGGATGAAAACCGAGGAAGAAATCGCCACAGAAGCCAAGGCGCGTCTCGAAAAACTCGAACGAGACCGCCAGAGACGGATGATGGGATTACCGACCGAAGAAGAAGAACACGAAACGCGTCGTAAAAATGACTTTGCGGCTCGGAAACGCGTCTCTCAGGCGGATGATCTTGGGGATGATGATTATGGCAAAGCTGTCAGTGTCATGTTGGAGAATGAGGAGGAAAAGCCCTTGACGTATCGCAATGGAGTATTGGTCAACGATCAAGTTTTTATGAGTAAGAAGAGAAAGCTAGAGGCGGCCAGTGATGATGAAGACGAGGATGAGGATGATGAAGAGGAGAGCGACGCTGATAGCGAGCAGAGTGGGGATGATGACGTGAATGGTTCAGTAGAGTCCGATCGAGAGGATGATAGCGACAACGACGAGGAAGAAGATGATGACAATGAAACTGAAGAATGGCAAGTCGAGGAAATTGATGAAGAATTTGGGGAAGCGCACGGTGACGAAGACGCAAGCCAAGACGAAGAATCCGAAGCAGAAGAGAGCGCACCAACCTCCTTGGAAACGAATGACGCAAAACCTGCCCAACCCCGTTTCAAGCGAAACCCTGACCCATCCGCCGCCTCCGAACTCCCCTACACCTTTAAAGCTCCAGAAACGCACACAGAGTTTCTGGGACTTGTCAAGGACAGAAACCCAGAGGACCAGGCCACCATTATCGATCGGCTGAGAGTATTGCACCATGTGTCATTGGGCGGGAACAATCGAAAAACATTAGAGGTTTGTAAGATATTTGCTTGTTATCAAGTACCATTTCTCATAAACAAGATCAATGTAGACTCTCCTTGACATCCTATTCGAACACCTGGATTACCTCTGCTCACAGCCCACACCTTCCTTCAAGACGATCCACCATCTGAGCCCCCACATTATTAGCCTCTCCCAGCAATTTGCTTCCCAATCCGCAGAGTACTTTATTACAACATTAACAACTCTCGAAAAACGGCTTTTAAAAAATCTGGGATCGGGTAAAGGCTCCAAAGCATGGCCAGACCTGCACGCCCTCGTATTACTGAAACTGGTTGCCCGCATTTATTCAACATCGGATTTGGTTCACCCTGTCGTCACACCCGCCATGATTTTGATTGGGCAGTACCTTGCCTTATGTCCCGTTGTAAAGGGGAGAGATGCTGCTGTGGGACTGTTTTTATGTGAAGTCGTTTACGAGGTGAGTTGGATTTGTTATATATTTTTCTCTTTTACAACGTGCTTGTATCGGTTTTTTTCCAACATTTTTTTTTTTGGAAACCTAGTACGAAACCCTTTCCAAACGCTACGTCCCCGAAGTCATCAACTTTTTTGGAAACCTTCTCTCTTTGTTACTCCCCCTAGAAGAGCATACTACGCAAGCTGAATTCCCTACGGCTCCCATCCTAGAACCCAATGTGACGAGTCTACGCATCAAGGATTGGTCGGAAACGCTTACACCACTTTCACTTGCATCCCTGTGCCCCCAATCGGAGATTCATAATCTCTCCCTACTAAACACATCACTCCATCTCTTGACCCGCTTTGCAAAACTCTACACCGACACCTCAACTTTTTCCACCATTTTCTCTCCATTCCTCCCCCTTTTAAACCGTATCCCCCCTTCCCCCCTCTCAACACCCGCCGAGAAAGCCATCAACACCATCATAACAATCTCCAAAACAGCACCCCTAAAACGCCGTCCCCTCCTCCTCCAAAAACACAAACCCATCCCCATCCAAACCTACGTCCCCAAATTTGATACTCATTACTCAATTGACCGTAAAAAGCGGGATCCAAATCGTGAGAGAGCCGAGAAAGCTAAATTGAAAAATGAGTATAAGAAAGAGTACAAGGGGGCTGTTAGAGAGTTGCGCAAGGATGCGGCTTTTGTTGCCCGTAAGAGGTTGGTGGAGACCAAGCAACGGGATGTGGAGTATAAAAAGAAGATGGACAAGATTATGGGACAATTGGCGAGTCAGGAGGGTGCCATGAGGGGCTATGAAAGGGAGATGAAAAAAGCAAAGGGGAAAAGGTAGTAGTAAATCATGTTTTTAGGTGTATTTAGGTAGGATATGGATAGGCGATACGAGGCAAAAAAGCAATCAGTATGTAGAATATATAGTGTAGAGGTGACAGAAACTGGCACTAGCTACTACACCAGGGAATAAACCAGCGACAACCGGTTCGGAAAAGCTAAGCTACTACTAGGCAATTATACACGCAATACGTAACGGTTGGTTCTAACCGGATAACTGCCCACCACCACACACGGTCCCTACTAGGCCTTGATCCAGAACTCTTGATGGCATTGAAGCCAGAGTCTTCGCAACATTAGGGACACTTGCAAGCTGGAGGATGTTCAGTAACGAAGGCTTGGAGACTAAAAAACTGCATGTCAGCGAGATGACCCGATGACAAGAAATGCAAGAAATGCCATTGATACATACCAACCAAGCTCAACTAATGTGGCAGTATAATAGTAGGTTTTGTTATCAGATCCAATTGGTTGCTGCTGGTTTTGATCGCTGTTGCTGTCGGGAGGGCGAGGTCCTTGACAACACCACATCGGCATTCTCATGGTTGACCGAGTCGCGATGAGGTTGCAATGTGGGTCGCAATGAGCGTTTGTGCAGATGCTTGCGAGTCGAGGATGGGTAAAGAGGAAAGAGGGAAGAGACAGAAGGCCCCCCTTTTATAGACCTTTGGCATGTGCCTCACCGCAATTTAAAAAAAAAAACATTACATGCATGCCACACCAATCTGAGCAATAGATGGGGGTGCTGATTATGCGATATGACTAACCGGATTAATCCGGATAATAATGAGTCCTAGTGCCATTTTCAATCACCTCCACACTATGTATGCATGGATGTGATTGACCAAAAAAAAAAAACCATAGCAGGCAGATTTTACGCTATTAATCATTTTCTTCCCACCCATTACAATATGCACTCTATGATTACTATTATACCATATCCTCATTGGACTTTGCATTTGACTGCGTAGTCGAGGGTAGTTCGTAAATGTCATACCTAAAAATGCAATCAGCAACGTAGAAACCAAGGGGAACATCACAAACAGAAAACGTACCATAGACTCTGACTCCTCGAACCTTTCCCTCTACCCTTTTCTGCAATTCCAACCCCAGCCCCACCATCCCCACCCCAAAACTCCACACAATTCCTCCAAAAACCTAAATCAAATGCATTCCTCATTCTCCGCCTCCACGGTGGTCTATTCCAATCCCCTGGTTCAACAAGGTAGGAAAATCGATGCCAGTTGGCTGATTCGTTGGTGGTATATCCGCGTGCTACCTGCCATGCTTGTACCAAAAAGAGGAACAGATCCCACGTTGAATTGAGGCCGGCCCATATTGCGATCAGGTACGCGAATCCGTCATTGGCGAAACTGTTGCATACGGATTCGATAGGGATGCTGCAGGTGGGTGTTCCCTGTATGGGTCTCTCCAAACTGTTGAGGTCTGTTTGAATCCATTAGCACATTTTGTTGTTCAGTGATATGCACTGCGCGATATTAACAAAACCTACACGAAAAGGTAATGTAAACAAACATCCACGCCCCCATAAAGAGTGATCCCGTGAAAATCATGAAATATCGATGATTCAAGGCACCAACTTTTAAATAAAAATGTCATCAGGATGGGACTTTTTATGCGGATACACATATTCGAACTTACTGCAATTGTATGTCCACGGACAGTGACTAGATAAAAAGGAAGCTTGAATATCTGGTCTGACGACAAATGCCCAATAGGACTTACTGGTCGAATCGAACAACGCATCTATCACAAAATTTGCAATGTTTGCTTCGCAACGGCTTACGAATCTGTCATGCAAAAGAATTCAAGACCATGCCTCTTCACAACTTTAAAGATTAAAACATACACAACACGTCACGCAATACGTGCGCGAATCGAGTTGATCCTTTTCGGCAAGCGCAATGACAGCCTGTTATAATAAAGCGCCGACATTTCGTGATTTAGCCTACAACTGTTAACCTGTTCAAATTGCGTGGGCATCCACACCTCTTTCCGGTTTTCAAAACTGGCTTTTGGTATGTATCCGGGATTGCTCACAATTGCTTTATAAAAAGAATAACAGCATAGCGCGAAAAAGAAGAGAAAGAATATATGCTCTAGGTAAAGATATCCCGTATCTATTTGATTGAATGTGTGAACAAGTAAGGTGACTAAAGCAATCAGCGCAGCACCTACATGGCACAATCTTCAGCCACACCAAGAACACGTAAAGTAGAGTTGCCTGAGGTATAGCGGTCATGAAAGGTGTTGAGACCATATTCCGGTGACCGGCCATTAGGTACCGAATCAAAAATTGTGAATGGACAACAAAGATAATGATAAATGTTATAGGCAGACTGTAGTAGAATGGCAGTTTGGATAGAATAGCGCAAGATAACGGGAGCACGACGTAAGGTATTGCGTATATGATTCGATTGGTCGTACGCTAAAAGTTGAGCCAGTTAAGAGAATCCGCCTAAATTCTGAAATCGCATACAGTACAAACCTTGTCGAACGGTCTACCGTCATTGTTTGTCTTGGAGCCTACTCGACCGCATGCAACAAGGATCTGCTGGTAATAGTCAGCATGTCCCCGCTCTTTAGCCCAATCGGCGGGGCTTTTCCCCTCTGGATCCCGGATGTCGATGCGCGCACCCGCTTTGATTAGCTTCTTTGCAAGGTCTAGATGGTGTGAGATGACCTTAAAATGACGGATGGATAGGACAAGTCATGAGTCAGCTAGCCACGCTCAAACCGCATGCGTTGAAAACATACCGCCCAATGCAAGGCCGTGTAACCAGTCTGATCTGTCATGTCCAAAGCAGCACCCGATCGTAATAGGTCTTCCAACAACTCGGGCGAGTTTCCTTGATAGGCTGACCACATAAGCGCCGTCCGCCCCATGGAATCGACCGAATTGATATCCATCCCAATAGACAGCAGGTAAACTGCCATCAAACAGTGTCCCGCGTGGGCAGAAAGATGCAAGGCATTATATCCTTGATTGTCTTTAAGCGATGGATCTGCGCCGCACTTGCGAAGGTAGGACACCATTTGGACATGGCCACTCCTGCGGGGATGACGTGGACGATTGAGCACGACCATGCGAAAACCATGTATGAAGCTGGTATACGAATCAACCCGCAGACGTACCGTGCCGCCCAATGCAGTGGTGTTGCGTGTAGGTCACCTTTATCAAGACGGTCTTAGATACAAAAGCACGAAGCACGCAAGTATTCGCATCCCTACCTCCAAAAGAGTCAGGTTCGGCCCCCTGTTCTATAAGGTATTTTGCGACCTCCAGGTGCTTATTCTGAATTCATAGTCAGACATAAGCTCAGCAATGACTCTAAAAGTAGGGTCATTTGCTACGCCGTATGACTTACGATGGCAGCCCAATGTAAAGCGGTACAATTTCCGCCATCTCGATCCCCTGCGCGCGCGGCCCCACTTTCTATCAAGTCCCTAACGCGCTGAAGTATGCCTCGTTGTGAAGCTTGAAACAGGTCCAAGTCTATATCATACACAAGGATATCCTTCGTTAGCCAGCCAGTCTCGGATATGTGGCTGGTGCGCACACTCCAACGCCAAGCTTTTCCTGATAAGCATAAGGTACCTTGCAAATTCACAAGCGGTTCTCCATCGGGCGGCGGTGCACGAGTTTGTAGTTCCGTGCTATCCTCTCCGTCAGACGGGCTACCGTCATGGTGTTCACAATGGTGACCTTCCGCGCCGTAATCGTGACGTTGTGCATGTCGCCCATGCCACAATTTATGCAGTGCCCCCTTATAGTGCCCTCCACCGGTCACAGGAGTTTCTCCCGACGCAACTATAGAGTACAGAATGGTTGAGCCCCAAGGTCAACGAGATCTGTTATAGCGCTAAACTTTTACCTGCGGTCACAGTAGATCCTACCGTTGACCCCACCACCTGTGCCGCATGTGAAAGAGTGGCCGTAAAGTTTTGGAGTAGTGGCTCGCGTTGCTCTGCAGTCATCATCTGTGCAAAGTAATGTTCTGCATGTCAAATTGTGCAAAAAGAATGCCAAGTGCGGAGCAAAGAGCGTCCATTGGGAAAACCGCGTTTAACTAAGCCGCCCGTCCACGTCAGGCTTTCAACCGCTTTCCTGTCCCGCTGATCTAGCAAAACTGTTTTTCTGTATTTTCTTTTTGTAAATGGGCATTGCGTTAACAAAACTATGGCGGCTCTTTTGGAGCCAGGAGGAACACAAGATTGTTATTGTAGGACTTGACAACGCTGGAAAGACTACAGGTAAACTTTTGCTGAATCTCCCGCATGTGTACAGAAGGCGTGGATTTTGACTTTCTTCGTCATGCTCGTAGTTTTGTACAGATTGTGAGTACGTAACAAGCACCGTCCGTCGCTCACGCTCCAGTACACCTTGTTCATCTCATGGACTAACATGAGGTAATGATTTCCTCAAAAAAGAGTGATGGGGGAGGTAATTGCCACAGCTCCAACAATAGGTAGTAACGTCGAGGTATGTGTTCATGTTTTATCTTGAATATTATAGATTGGTCCCGAATTAACCACTACGCCCCTCTCTGTCGCTATCCTAGGAATTCACATATCGCAATATAAAATGCCTTGTATGGGACATCGGAGGACAAGACTCTCTGAGAGCTTCCTGGAGCACATATTACACCAACGCTCGGGCTGTGATAATGGTCATTGATAGTACAGATCGAGCCCGTCTACATTTATCAAAGGAGGAGCTGCACAGGTACGTCTGGGAGTGTGGACGTGGCGCATTGCATACTGAAATCCTCACATTTGCGGATTACAGAATGATGGAACATGATCAACTTCGGAATGCTGGTCTTCTTGTGTTTGCAAACAAGCAAGACGTCAGAGGCGCTCTAAAAGCTGCAGCTATATCGGAAGCACTGGGCTTGTCACACTTGAAGGATCGCCAATGGCATATACAAGCATGCTGTGCATTAACCGGTGAAGGGTGCGTTTCATTTGGACAACATCAAACTCTTCTAAATGAATCTAACAAGGTTCAAATTCCTGCAGGTTATGGGAAGGTATGGATTGGCTAATAACAACAATGGCCCGATGACTTTCGGTACCCCCGTCGAGGCCAGAGTGAGCATTGGATTGCTTCCCTTCCCGTTTATATATCCATCTAGTTAATAACCATCGGTCACACGGGGACCATCCCCCAATAGCCCTTTGCATGTAAATTGGCCACTTCATAGTTAGATCCTCCAAGCTAAGTCCACCTGTGCTATACTCTAGGTAGATACAGTGAAGGCGTCCCCCCGTCACTATATAGAGTTATCTACGGACCGTGTGTCCACAAGAGATTTTATCAGTGCGAAATCGTGCGCCGCGAACGTCTCCCGCCAAAAGCGAAGCAATAGGTCTGCTCGAGTCCGAACGCTGTAGAGTACATACATGAGCATCCCACCCTGGAACAAGGTGGTTTTCGGCGGTTATGATACCTGTTGGCAGTCTTTCGCTGCTCCACCTCTGCCTCCAGCTCAGCGGCCTTCTCACGCGCAGTGGCGAGAAGCTCGTTAGGCAAATTAGCCAAGCGAGCGACATTCAGTCTTCAGGAGGTCCTTGTTAGAGCTTCTCACTTCCAGATATGCACCGTGGTTCTCTTGTCCCTTACCCATAAGACCTATGTGCGAGTCCTCTTGTGAGTTTATACAAGAAAATGATTGAATGTGAACCTTAGGACATATTGGGGTTTAGTTCTTTCCCCTTTATCGGAACTGCAACAAGAGAACTAGAAAGCCATACTCTCATCCTCTTCCTCGGTCTCGTGGAATGCCATATGACAGTTCCGCAAGGCGCCTGGAAACTCTTTCTCCAATTGCCCAAGCACTGGATAATGCGTGACAAACAAGGTAATACTCTTCAAATCCTCAATGAAGTACTTCAACGTTGCAAAGGCAATGGCAGTCCCATCGTGTGTGGAGGTTCCTCGTCCTAGTTCGTCCAGGATGACGAGCGACCGATTTGTCGCAGTCCGCATGATGTCAGATGTTTCCTGCAGCTCTTTCATGAAGGTGGATTGGCCACCTGCAAGATCGTCTGAGGCACCCATTCTGATGTTTCAAAGTTAGAGGTTTCGGTTACGGTAGACATTGTGGTTCAAAGTACCTTGTATGGACGGAATCAAAAATACCCAACTGCGCAGACTTGGCAGGAACGTACGACCCAATTTGCCCCATGATAACAATGAGGGCTACCTGCCGAATATAGGATGATTTTCCTCCCATGTTAGGACTGTGCATGATGTATTTAGCATTGCCATTGCAAAGCATAATTGTCGAACTTGGTCATTACTCACCCGGTGATCAATAAACACCGCCGATCTTGCTAGAAAAAGACCAACATGAATACTTGCGCCGGACAGGGTTGCGCCTCCAGATATACTCACAGTCAAATCCACGTCATTGGTCACGTAGCTGGAGACGACATTCTCCACCATCGGATGGCGACCCTCTTTTACCAGGACGGTAGCGTCAGGAACAAACTCGGGTTTACAGTAACCAGGCTGAGCAGCGACCGTCGCTAAACAAATCAAAAGCTATTGTCGGCAATCGTCTTTTGTAAACAATCATTCTGTAACCCACCTAACGATAGCAAACAATCCATTGTGGCAATACTCTGTACAACTCCCCGGAAGAGTTCATATCGGGACCCAACCTCTCTGCAAAGGGGCATATGTAAGCACCTTGCCTGTTCTTGTACATTCGAGGATCTCATGATCGAGCGGACAAACCTTACAAAAGCAGCATAGGCGGTATCGCAAGCGGCCACGAGCTGTTCGCGATAACGATCTCGCTCCTTTATCTTTTCTGAGGAAATGATGAATGACACCTGTTGCTCATCTGGAGGAGGTTGGCCAATAAGAGATACTGACCAATGACGAACGGCGTGTGAAATCGCGCGACCGCTTTAGTACTAGCAAGATATCCAGGTTAGTAAAGAATTTAGGGAAATCTAATGTAAGTGGGTAACCCACTTGCTGATCTTTATCCAATTACTGGGTACTTTTGATGCTTGATTTACCGGCACTTCAATCAAGTACTTTAAAACTTCGTCAGCGCAGGAAAAGGGTATTTTTTTCCCAAAACGCCATCCAACTCACCTCAATCCCCGCCACTGTCACGTACGTCAAGTTCGGTTTCTTGATCTCTCCCCTAACCTCCTTCAAATGGGCCAGCAACTCCTCTTCAACAGTCTCTAGGTTCTTCATATAGCCATTGTTTATCGTAAGCAACGGGCCCATCCAATAGAGTATTTGTACAAACCTCCTTGAACTCGCCTATTTCGGGCCATTTAGAGGTGTCACTGAAGAACTCAATTTTGTCGTCGGATTTGGCAGCACTTTCATTTATCATGCCCCGAAAGTACATCACATCACTCTTAATTGCTGGAAGCGACTTGTAAATGTCTTTCAGAATAGGCGACCGAAATTTCTCCCAAGCATCAGAGATAAAACTTGAGCCAATTTTTTCGAACGCCAACAATGTATTGTTCAGCTCCGACGGAGAGCATCTTCCGTAGTGTATTCTGCACACGCTTTTTTCAAGGTCTGTGAGACGAAGGTCAGCTGAACTGCTTGCTGTTTAAGTTTTTTGAGGCAACAACCTGGCAATTGACAAATCAACCCTCTCATTCGTTGGATGAAGACATTCCCTTGCGCATCGCCCTGAATGATCTCTTCCACGGCGTCAATGCGTTTTTGCAAGTCGCTTCCAGAAACAACAAGAAACAACAAACACGAAAGGATCATGCGTTGATACTCAACAGTAAATGCATTATTGTATGGTGAGACTTACGGGAGTTGCACTAATGGTCGTCCAATCCACTTCTTCAGTAGTCTCTGGCCAAACTTCGTCTTTGTGTGATCCAAGATCCAAAGCAAAGACCCCTTCTCCTCAAAATCAGTTTGATTACGGAATATCTCCAGGCTATTCAAAGTATTGGCATTGAGCACCATATGGGCCACGGACGCAAACGCTGTGAAGAACTTGGTAAGGCGAAGGATATCTTCGAGCCCAAATTGCACCAAATATTTGAGCAGCGCAGCAAGGCAGATAATCACTCGACGTGGAAGAGACAACGCTTGGCTGTAGAGTTCCGCTATGTATCCTGTGAGCCAGAGGACCTAGTTGCATCGCAACACCATACACCAACACACCAGCCAAAGCCGTTCCATTGTCGTTTCCAGTCGGCTTGTTGTCGAGTATTGGCTGTTCATAGAACTCTGCCAGCACCTTGCGCGCTGTGGCATGATCTAGAAACGCGCCCTTAAGCCGTTCAATTCTAACAGTGTCGCCAGTGGAGCCAAATCTGCACATTGCACGTCATGTACTGTAAGCACCGCCCAACAACCCATTATAAGCCAGTGCACGACTTACGATTCGCAAAGCTGTCTTATGAGCGTCTCCGTCATATCACTTAGTGGGTTTCCGGGTAGAATGATTTCGGTAGGTTGAATATGCATCATACGAGTCTCCAATTCGTTTCGCATATAATTGTCGTCAAACTCGTCAAATATTACGTCCCCTGTATGCAGCTGGACAGCCTGCCACAATTGGATCAAGACGTCTCAGTCATCCGTAGAAATCACCAGAATGAATTTTCTCAACTGCAACCTACCACAATGCTAATTTTGGCCGTGTCCATAGCACCCTTGCCTTCCTCTTCGTTGATACACAGCAGATAGCTTGATCGGACTTCAAAAGCTATATCTTCACCCCCTATGTCATCCACAAAGGTGCCCTTGGAATACACATTCGTAAGCTTCCTTACGAATGGGGCGTTCTTGTTATCTCCGACAGCTGTATAGATTGTAAGCGGCCTTCGAAGCCGTATCATTACAATAGAACCTGCAAAAGCGTACCTTTCAGGGCAGCCGTTTCCATCTGGCGCACGATGCCAACTAAAAAAATCTTAGCACGGTGACACCCACCGGTGTGCGACTGACAATGGTTACCTTTGTAGCCCAACTGTACCAACCTATTGCAACAGCCAGTATATTTAGCATTCTCACATATATGAGGTAATGGGAAGTCGCTACCCACTTTTTAACATGCACGTGAAGCCGATGAGTCGGAAAACTTGCAGTATACATGCTGTGATCCCTGTATGCCACGATGTTAAGTTCTGGATGTGGGCCAAGTACTTAGCATTGTGGAGCAATCACGCTGGAATTTCGACAATCTCACCTTTCGCCGCTATCTAACAACGACATTCCGTCTTTATTAAGATACGCAAATATAAAGTTCTGTCTGACGTACCTTGGCATCCTCTCCGAAGAAGCGAAATTTATAACCAACCTCTACTACAAGCAAACAGTCTGGATGATTTGCCTTGATTTCCAAGAATTGTTGCTCCAGGGGCGTGTACGTTGATTTGGTTTTCCCCGAACCTTTCCGTGCTTGCACTGGCGTTGTGTCCCGCGATTGATTTCCCACCTTCCGTGGCAGCCCCTTTCCAGTACCATGTTCCACTTCTCCATCTTCTGCGCTATCCATATCTCCTTCATCAGCTTCAGGGTTCGGATCCTCCGACCGTTCGTCTATCGTAAACTTGGCCAGGAATCGCTCTCGGACGCGGTTACGCTCCGCGGCAGAAGCTCCGCTGACTTCCACATACTGAGAATTTTCCCCCTCTGTATTTTCGCCACATGCATGGTTTTTCTTACGATAACGGAACGCTTCGGTCGACCTTCGCGGGATGGTCCCGCCTTTGGCTGCAGGCCGGGTCCTGCCTGGTAATTCCTCTTCACTGTCGGATGTCAGGCGCCGCAGCCTTTTGAACTTGCTCAATTTTGGAGATGGCGAGTCTACCTCCATTCGGCCACCTTCATTACCACTTTCGACGGCCGCATCTTGCTCTATTGCCCGCGGTGCTTCGTTGGGCGAGCATGGACCAGGGGAGTCATTCTGACGGTTCTCGTCATTCTCAGTAAATTTCCCTTTCAGAAGGTCCCGAGCATCTCGGGATGGCATTGCTTTGGCAGCCCTCGGCGCCGACGTATCCGTCTTTGGCGTGAAAAAGCTGCTAATAGTTCGCTGTTGGAAAGATGTTCCAGACGACTTCAACTTTTTAACGTTTCCGCCACTGTCGGCGGTTGCCTTTCTCTTCCCTGACATCTTCCAGGATTATGAGAATGGAAGCAATATCCTACTGCTGTCTATATCGTCACTTCATGTACGAAAACTGGTGGTAATGGACGGCCATTCTGAGGTCAGATCGCAGATTGGATTAGCGATCGCTTGTAATTTATCCTATTGTGGAAGTGTTACTCATGGTATCGTCTGGCAGGGTACTCCGTACAATAAGGACTTGTGTGATCCCACATGACCAGACGCATCTATAAATCAGTTATGATCGAGGCATCGGCACTGACGGTTTTCCTACTCATTATAGACTACTTTAACATGCTCGATAAATACACTAAATGCATTGCAACACTTTCTAACCATTAAATAATGCTTTCTCCACATGTACTCAGCAAAATATCCACCAATATCTGCTCTTCCAGTCTTAGGAATGCTTATTTTTATAGCATTCCAAGTAGATTCAATTCTTTGACTGTGTACACCTATATCTGGGTTAATGGAGTGATGCTGGAAGGCCTCTGAGTCTCTTGAACTGTAGCAAGCCCTTCTTGGTTGTCCAAGAACAAAGGCTCCCCTCCCAGAGGAATCTCAAGCTTGCTGTCTTGCTGTGGTACACTCTGCTCCCATTCCTGAGTGCTCCACATGAAGTTTCCATCAAAGATGACATCCATTGAGATAATAACTTGGCTCATTTCAGGTACCCACAGTCTGTAGGCCTTACTCTGGGTACTGTAGCTGACCATGACTGCCTTCTTGGCCTTCTCATCAAGTTTTGACCGCTTTTCCTTTGGAATATGAGTGTAGGCCATGCAGCCAAACACTCTGAGGTGCTGGAGATCTGGTTTACCGCCTGTAAACTCTTGAAATGAGGTTGATTGGTGCTGAGTGCTGCAGTGGGGCTCCTGTTTCCTGAATAGACCAACTGTCATGATAGCTCGCCCAAGAACTTGTAGCTGA